GTTTACGAATTAAAGTTGATATATTTATATACAGTTTGCTAAAAAAAGGAATCAAGACAATCAAGGAAATGAGATTAAAAATAAAAATATAACATTTTTAACTTGACCAAAAATTTTTGCGTTGCGTTTTTTTGCATCTGAGTGTTCATCCTGTATATTACATTTCATATTTTAATAAATCTTTTATATAAGCTTTAAAAACATTTTAATATATTAATAAAATTATTGCCATAAATATGTTATTTTTTTCTCTTTAACTTTCTAACTTTCTCTGACTATTAATTACACATAAAAGCTTTAGTAACTTATACAAAACGAAACTGCATTATACAAAGCTTTTAATACAACACAAGGCTTAAAATAGTGTAAGTTGATGGAAGAATCTTTTAAAGGAAAACTCCTTCCATGTTACTCCACTCGAAAGATGCTGGATGCTCTTAAAGGACCTTTCCTAGATTTAATGAATACCAAGCAAACAGTTTTAGAGGCGGAATAGGATTTCTATTTATCTTGAGTGGCTACTAAACCTTTATACAGGGTGGATACTTAATATTTTCCTTACATTCTAAATATAAAATCCCTATACCATAATATGTATGTCAATTATGTAGTGACAAAAATGTGATCAAAATGATTTATGATAAAGTGTGCTTTGTCGGGCTTTTATTTAACAATTCATATGGTCGTTTATACTGTATTTTTTAATTGTCAAAGTCGATGAAACGCATTTCATCATATTTGTTAATTTGATCATACCATTCGTATGCCATACCATTCGTTCGCCGCTCAAAAATCGAATAGCAACGACCTCGCTCAGCGGTGAGTCCATCAGGTTTGTTCCGGGCAGGGGATGCCCGCAAGGAGGAGTTCTCTCTCCTCTTCTGTGGACCCTGTTAGCGGATGACCTGATGGCAATCATCGATGCATACGAGGTTGAAGCACAGGCATACGCAGACGACCTGGTAATAAGTATCCTAGTAAAAGGACACAAAGAGGAGGACATCTCCTCAAAAATACAAGTAGTCTTAGATACAATTCACGGCTGGTGCACACTGGAACAATTAAGTGTAAACCCACAGAAAACCGTGATCATACCATTCACCAGAAGAAGGAAAACAGACAAACTAAAACCGCCCACTCTTCTTGGTAAGACAATTCCGTTTGCGGAGGAAGTTAAGTATCTAGGATTAAACATGGACAAAAAACTTAGCTGGAACTCCCATCTGGAAAAAATATCAAAAAAGGCTGCTATGCTCTATGGGCATGCCGCCGAATTTGTGGTAGAAACTGGGGATTAAACCCCAAAAATATGTACTGGCTATACGTGACAGCCATCAGACCTATTATCACGTATGGCGCAGTTGCCTGGTGGCAGAAAGCCAACCAAACAACGGCAAAAAATAAACTGTCAAAATTACAACGACAAGCATGCTTAGCGGTGCCTTTCATTCTACGCCGTCAAAAGCTATGGAAACCCTACTCGACTTACCTCCTCTTCAAATTATTTTGGAGAGGGAGGCGAGATGGGCTACATATAGGTTTCTAAATATGGCACGAGAGAGCCAAGGAACAATCATGTTCATACAAAACCGACTAGTAGACGAACTACAATCGGATGAGATTCTGGGAATGGTCTCGGATCTCACACCACCAATCCAACTTTTGACGCGCACCTACAACGGGGATAACCCGAGAATGGGATAAGCCGAGAAACGGCTTATTACTTGCGGAAATGTGTTGGTACACGGACGGATCCAAAAACGATAAAGGATCTGGCGCAGGAATTTACTGCAGCAATCCAAAGACTGAGATCTACCACAGTCTTGGAAAACACACCACTATTTTCCAAGCTGAGCTATATGCGATTGAAACCTGTGTGCAACTGCTGGTAGAACAGAATACACCGGGAAAACAATAAGCATATTTTCGGATAGCCAAGCCGCGTTGAAAGCACTTGAGGCAACGAAAAGTACGTCCAGGACGATTCTTCATTGTAAGAAACTACTCAATATATTAGGAGATGGAAACAAAGTGTCGCTAATATGGATACCGGGACATGTCGGCCTAGAGGGAAATGAACGTGCTGATTCCCTCGCCAAAACTGGTGCAGGCTCATCATTCGTGGTCCCAGAACCGACACTTACGGCGTACCAAAAAATCTCGCAAGAGACAGGCTCTGTGAATGGGTTAGGGGTGTGACGTTTCGGGACTGGTATGACAGTCCCGGAATGAAACATGCCAAGACAATCCTAGCAGAGACATCCAAACGTAGAACAGATGAACTCCTAAAGGCTGGTAGGAACGGAGCGCGTACGCTTACTGCAGTACACGGGCCACTGCCGGCTGAGATCATACCTACAGAGGATGGGACTGGTGGAAGACGCCGAATGCCGACTCTGTATGGAAGATGACGAAACAATGAAGGCACGTTATGTGTACCTGCCCCGCTGGGGGCAGGACCAGGTTTGAGGTGTTTGGCAAACCCACGCTAGACCTATCAGACCTAGAAGACATATCACCCTCGGACATAACGGCCTATAGGCTGGGTCTTGAGGGTGAACTTTAATGCTCTTTTTCTATTAAAGAGCTTGTAGAAACTGAGCCACAATAGGCCCTCGCGGCCTCAGTGGATGGTCCCACCTGGGACTCACTCTTAGTAAAATACAAATACAATACCATTCGTATACCGGGTGCGTCTCAAAAGTGGCTCACCCCTATTACTTTTTTATTTTTTCAAATTACAGAACTAGATTTGGTATGTTAGGATATGACATAAATTTGGATTGATTGACGTATTCAAATGTTTTCAGTGACTTCCTGTTTCACCGGAAATGACTTCAACTTTTGATTTTTGAATGGCACTCTCGGTATTTTGTTACTTTATTTGCTAGTAAAATGACACTCTGAATAGAATGACATCTATAAAACTAGTGGAAAATAGTATATTGCGCAACTCGTGCGAAAAATTGTCGATTGTCCACGAGAGCGAAGTTGAGCGCACGAGCGAAGTGAGACGACAACAATCGACAACTTCGCACGAGTTGCACATAGATACTATTTTTTATTACGTAGGTATGCGGGAATAGAGTAGTAATTTTAGTCAAAAAAAAAATAATGAAAAAGTTAAAAGATATTAAACAAATTTATTTTTAACAATGAAACACAGCAAATTAATAAAAATTGTGAACGATTAAACACAAGGTAATCAATTTAAATAGTTCTACTGCCATTTGAATAAATTGTTAAGTTTGAACAATTTGAGAACGTGATATTAAAATTTTTTGATCTTTTTGATGGGGCCGTATCTAAAATTTCAAAATTTAAATCTCTGTTGTTCTTTACTCCAATATAAATCGGTACTTTTCCTGCTGACTCATTAGCAAGATCAATTTGCGGCTCACTTCTTTAATATTGACACTTCGAGACTGTCTTTTTTGCTTGTCAATTTGCATGTGCCAATGAAAATTTGGGTGCTAGAAGTTTACTTGTCGCACTCAAATTGACATTAAATATGCTCAAAACTCGTGTGGTAATTGTGAAGTGGGCAATTAGCGTCTTTTCGACTCCAAAAGAAAGCAAAAAGATACTACTTTCCCCGCATGAGTAATAAAAAACTGAGTGGCTTTTGTTGCTAACAAAATCAACTTTTGACATTTTCTTTTTCTTTTTTATTTAGACATGGTTTATTTGAAATTGCAACATGCAGTTTATAACGACAATTTGACTCGAAATACCAAGTGTGTGGTATCAAATTATTCGTAAAAAAATGCTTTTTCCAAATATGCTAATGAGTCACCCTCGTTACGTTTAAAAAAATTGAGATATGATTAAAAATACGATTTGGGCATCTTTTAGCCGGCCAGGACAAGACACTATAAACATTAGACGATGAAATCTATTTTTCCAAGGCTCCTGGATTAAAAATTAGTGTTTTTAACACAGCCATGACACTCTAGATTGAAATTTAAAATACAATTTTGTTTTAAGCGAAAATGTCATAAGTTAACATATTCTAATCAGAGTCTATCGATTTTCTATCGAATAAAGTAAAAAAATACCGAAGGTGCCATTTGAAAATCAAAAGTTGTAATCATTCCCGGTAAAAGAGGAAGTGACCGAAAAGAATTTAATACGTCCAATGAATTCTAATTTATATCATATACTAACATACCAAATCTCGTTTTTTTATATGAAAAAATAAAAAAGTTATAGGGGTGAGCCACTTTTGAGACGCACTCTGTATAGCCATGTACCGTATGATCGAAAAAAAAACGGCGTCAGCGACGGCTATGAAATGAAGATCGCTGTAATTTTATATGTAAATTTATATGGGTATAAGTGCCATCGATGTTCATTTCATAGCCATCGCTGACGTCGATTTTTTTATCATACGGTATAAAAAATAGACTAAACATAAACATTGATTTGTTTTACTCTCACATATACAAACAAATAATAAAGAAGTCGTTTATTCTACATCTTTATTCTACACCTACATTCTCTACAGTTTGATATGACCACAGACTTAATATAATTCTTTTTCAAGATTTGATAACGTCATTGGCATAGTTTCACAGATAAAAGGGTGCTTAATAAATAAGTATCTTTAATTAAAGCCAAAAGCATTTTGGAAAAACATAAATAGAATTTTAATCTTACTTTGATAAAACGATAGTTTCACGAAGTCAGAGCAAAGATTTTTCGCAAATAAAAACACTTAAGATCCAACTTATAAATATAAACAAAGCAAAAACTCCTATATACATATTAAGTATTTTTTTTTCACATAGGAACGATAATCTTTATGAAGATAACTTACTTTGATTTTGATTTTTTTTTCGACATTATTTTCACAAAATGAAATCCTTCCTTTTTACTAACTCTTTAGAGATGTTATTCATTTTCTTAATATCTACTGGTATTGGTCACACTTTATCTATTCAAACATTTGATTATCTATTAGAACTATTTTAGTGTCATTTTTTAAAAATTATTTATAGATTTCGATGACATGCCCTGGTTTCCTAAAAAAATCTCCGAACTGGACAACGCCCAGAATGTTCTGATGTATGGAAGTGAATTAGATGCTGACCATCCCGGATTTAAAGACCCTGTATACAGGACCAGAAGAGAGCAGTTCTTTAGGATTGCTATGAATTATAAACAGTAAGATATTTTCAAGTCTTTCAAATAGTTTTTCATTCATTCAAAATTACTATTTTCTTTACAGTGGTCATCCTATACCAAAGGTCAAATACACACCTGAAGAAATAAAAACATGGTAGGTATTAATTGCTTGTTAATTATTAGATATTAATTTTGTTCACTCAGACTTAGATAAATATTCTTTCTTACATTTAGAAAACATTTTATAATTTTTTGAAGTATAAACATTAGAAATAATATTTATAAAGCCGCCACTACACGTTGAGTTTTGGACTAAATCCAAGGACCGTACAGTTCAAATCTCTCAGAAATCGTTACGTGTAGGACCCCTTTAACACAATTTGTCTCTTTAAGGGGAGTTGTATTTCGTGAACTGCAGAAACTCTACCAGAAGCACGCTTGCAAGGAGTACCTTGAGAACTGGCCACAACTGGTCAAATACTGCGGATACAGGGAAGACAACGTGCCACAGCTCCAAGACGTGAGCGTTTTCTTGAAGCGGAAAACTGGATTTCAGTTACGTCCTGTAGCTGGTTATCTGAGTCCGAGGGATTTTCTGAGCGGTCTTGCCTTCAGAGTTTTTCACTGTACTCAGTATATCAGGCATTCCAGTGACCCGTTTTACACGCCAGAACCGTAAGACCTTATAATGTATTTTAGTACCGTATGATCGAATAAAAACGGCGTCAGCGATGGCTATGAAATGAAGATCGCTGTCATTTTATATGTAAAATTATATGGGAAATGTCATCGATCGTGGTTTCATAGCCATCGTTGACGCCGTTTTTATTCGATCATACGGTATAACATTTTGGTGCTAATTTTGTCAAAGTATTTCTATTACAACTACCTATATATTATTACCAATGTAGTTTTTTGCTGTTTTAGTGATTGCTGTCATGAGTTACTGGGACATATGCCACTTCTAGCCAATCCGAGCTTTGCTCAATTCTCACAAGAGCTGGGGTTGGCCAGTTTGGGAGCTTGTGACGAGGACGTGAATAAATTAGCGACGGTAAGTTACACATATCCAAAATAGAGCATTTTTATATTTTTAGAATTAATTATTCACTATGTTACATTTTTTGGGCAAACTCTAACAAAAAATAAAAGAAGATAAGAAATATCTATTTATATTAAGAACATGTTTTGTACGTCCTAAAATCACGAATAAAGAAACGAAATAATCCACCCTTTAACCTTTAGTTAGTAACTTATAGTTTACAATATAATTCCACTAACCTAAATACAGGGTGGTCCGAACTGTATTCCGGAAACTTTGGCAGCATATTCTGCAGTTAAAAATAAGTTAGTTTCTGAGATACAGGGTGTTGAAGTTTCTTTGTGATTTGTATTTTTCCAAATAATTTCTGAAATAACTTCAATATTTGGATGAAAATTGGTGTCTGGGAGTTTTATTATAATAAGTTTTATCTTTTGATCCTAACTCCATCGCCTGCAACGTCTTTAGCTCGGGTCTCTCTGATCATGAAGCAGTTTTAACGGAATTTTCGATAAAGTCCAAAATCAAAAGTGCCCCTCGTAAATTATGCCGTATTTTTTCAGAGAAGAATGCTCAAAATTTCAGCCACTTATGTAAAACAACCAACTGGGATACTCGGTCTTATGATGTCGACACCGAATTTTCTATTTTCGTAAAAACATTAACCAGTCTAGCGTTCAAATCCTTTCCTCTTAGGCCTATCAAAAATAAGCGTAATAAACCTTGGACCACTAAAGGTCTACGCATATCTTTTAAAAACATGCGTTCATTATCTCACTTAAAAAAATTCTCAGACAGTGTCTTCTTCCACAATTACGTAAAACTATACAGAAAAATTTTACATAAGACTATAAGAGCCGCTAAGAGCCTTTATTGTAATAGGAGAATAGTTAATTCTGGTAATATTGCTAAAGAAACATGATCTATTGTGAATGATTTGAGAAACAAAGCTTCTTTGTCTAGCAATATCTCTACCTCAACCGAGAACCTTAACGATTACTTTGTAAATGTAGCGAAAAACTTAACTAATACCATATGTCCTTCTCATGATCCACTTTCATATCTCTCTAATGATAATGTAAACTTACACAGTTTCTTTTTTCCGCCCGTAGTTTTAGAAGAGCTTCGCAGTACAATTAATACCATCAAAAATAAATCCTCATCTGGGACCGATGGGTTAACTTTAAAAATGTTTTCGAATCTGCCAGAAAGCACTCTGAATCACCTAACTACTTTAATAAACATGTCATTCCAAAATGGTATTTTTCCAAAATGTCTTAAGACGGCAATAATCATTCCTCTGCATAAAGGAGGAGACAAAGATGAAGCTTCTAACTATCGTCCAATTGCACTCCTTCCAACGCTATCTAAGATCATAGAAAGGTTGGTTAAAAGAAGGCTGGTATCTTTTCTGTTTAAGTACAAAATACTTACTGAATATCAATTTGGATTTCTTGACTGACAATATTATTTGTATAATGTTTTGTATTATCTTTTGTTTGTTTGTTTGTGTACCTTGTTTGTTTAATTTGTTTGTTGAGTTTACCTTTGTCTACAAATTGAAAAATTTTTTGACAATAAAGGCATTTATTTATTTATTATTTTTTGACATGAGAAATTTGATTTGAAATTTGATGTCAAAATGACTCCTATTTGTAAGGGGCACCACCTACATGTATTTTAACTATTATGAAAAGTAATAACTTTTCGTTCTTACTTGTATAAAACTACTGAGTAAAAAAAATATACATTTCCGAGATTTTTTACGTAAAAAATGTCTCTTGGTAAAAATCAATCAAAAGTTCAACAGAAATTGTTTTATCATCATTTCTTTGAAGAAAAATTTATGATTAATTTAAATAAATAAAAGTTACCAAATTTATCATTTTAGACTAATAACTATCAACTCAACATGTTTATTTTTTGTCAATGACATGTATTGACTGTTTTCATACTAAATATCTTGAGAACGGTTGCTCGATTTTTTACAAGAGACATTTTTTATGTAAAAAATCACGGAAATGTATATTTTTTGACTCAGTAGTTTTAGACAGGTACGAACGAAAAGTTATTGCTCTTCAAAACAGTTAAAATACATGTAGATGGTGCCCACTACAAATAGGAGTCATTTTGACATCAAAATCAAATTTCTCATGTCAAAAAACTCCCATATACCAATTTTCATCCAAATATTTACGTTACTTCAGAAATTATTTGGAAAAAGTCAAAATAAAAATGAAACTTCTACACCCTGTATCTCCGAAACTAGGCATTTTAGGACATACATTTCTAGGAACTTTTTTACTTATTTTTATCTGCAGAATATGCTGCCGAAGTTTCCGGAATACAGTTCGGACCACCCTGTATAGTGATGAACTGTATCATCGAACTTGAGCTTCAGTTACTCGCATCTGATCACGATCGTTATTTTAATTGTTTTAATTAATTATGTGTATGTTATAACACATATATGGTTCGACGTCGTGCAAGCAACTGTTGACCCTTGAGTTTACATCAACACGTCTGTCTAAAATTATATTTTACGTGATTTTTTCCCAATTTGGTATAAACACAAGTCGGCCTTAATTTTGTTTCTTGACAATAGTTTCGATGACGTCACATCATTACATAGATACCTTAATCTGTCCTTTCGATATATTTTATATAGAATAATAAATAATTATTTATGATATAAGTGCTAAAAGTGGTATTTTATTTTGTGAGAAGGGAAGCTTGGGGCAGGACGCCGAAGGCGGAGTATCCCATCCCTTCGAACAAAATAAAATCACTTTTAGCACACATATCATAAACTATTTTTTCTACAAACAGGTTTATGCTTGTATATATCTGGGTTTTATTACTTTTTACGTTAATGAATAAAGCCGTACGCACACTGGTGCGATCACGGCCGCGATCACGATCTCCACACAAAAGTTGCTGTAGAATACATATGAGCCGTTTCACATTGGCGCGATCGAATTTTGGAGACGAAGCGGTCTGGCGGCGCCGGCGCACAATGGATCGAAGCATAAGAAGATAGGGACATTGGCTGTTTTTGAAGATTTCCAAATTTAAATATTTTTTTACATATTTGTGTTAAAGAGATATTCTAGTCTTGTAAAACATATACAGTATGTCTGTTTGTTATTTACGTAAATTGAAATAAATTGAAAGAATTTACGTTATTTGAAGTAAATTGAAAAATCATTCAAATTGGTAGATAAAGAGTCTTACATTTGATTCTAATTTTAAAATGGATGTAAAAGATATTCGTTTGTTACATATAACGACTTATTAGAAGCGTTCTTGGGCATTATATTATTACACTATTAGAAGCGTATTGGATTGTTAAATTTAAAAAAAAGTCACACCAGAAGTGAAAAACTCATTTGTTTCTTATTTATGTCATTAAGACTTAAAAATATAAAGTTTTCTTGAATTACAAAAAAATGTAAGCGGATGTAAGTGGAGATATTACGTGCAATGTAAAGAGCCACCTTTACTCGCACATATCATAAAAAAATTGGCTGCCCCAAAGTGCCACTGCAAAAAATATAATGTTTTTAATGTCAAAATCCTTGAATTTATGCAATGCACGCACAATGCACCATCAAACAATTTGTAATTTGCCGATATAGGTAAGTATATTCGTCGAAGAACATTGGAGTGGGACTGAATTACACTACAATACATAAGGCATATAGGTTGCATATAGGCCCAGAAATGTTTTCGTTTTGGTATTCGGTATTCGGCAATTGAATTGATATTCGGCAATTTGTCGAGTTTGCCGTGGACGCGCATCACGCGTTGCTTTGCAGAATATATTTGCAATTTTATTTGGAAGGGGGAGGAAATGGGTTTGATAGTCGATGTCGTTAAACAGGGATGGGGCACAACTAACGATGGAAACACTGCGAGAAGATTTTTCCAAAACTTCGAAAAGTCATAACAAATTACAGGAATCGATGAATTGATTGCTGGAAAGACTATATACATTACTCCAAGTTTTGGTTTCAGGAAAAAAAAAATAAATGCCGAAAAGTTTAATAAATTTGCAAAAGAGACTGCAGAAGAGTTAACCTTTATGGATGGTATTACATGCCATCTTCTCTACACAAAGTTTTGATACACGGAGCAAAAATCATCAGCAATTTTTGGTTTCCAATAGGGCATCTGTCTGAAGAGGCCTCAGAGTCTAGGAATAAATACTTTCGGAAATATAGAGAATGCCGTGCAAGAAGGTCTAACAGAACTTTTGCAAATGAAGACATTTTACATAATCTTTTGTTGTCTTCCGATCCATATATAACTGATATGCGTAGCTGTGATAAAATTCATAGCGATTTAACAGAGAAAGCAATATCTCTTTTGTTATAATATTTTTGTTTTCTTTTTTATTTAGAGATTAGTTCTTTTGTGAGTCACCCTGTATATTTTGTTAACTATTTGGTACAGAAGGCCATATTAATTTAGATATAACAGAGAAAGTAATTTCTCATATGTTATAATGTTTTGTTTTCTTTTTTGTTTATAGAGGAGCTCTTTTTGTAAGACACCCTGTATATTTTTTAAAATATCTGGTACAAAAGGCCATATTAATTTAGATTTAACAGAGAAAGCAATTTCTTTTTTGTTATAATATTTTTGTTTTCTTTTTTGTTTAGATATTAGTTCTTTTTTGAGACACCCTGTATATTTTGTAAACTATATGGTACAAAATGCCATATTAATTTAGATTTTTGTTGTATTTATTGAAGTCGTACATAAAAAACAGTAAAATAAAAGTATTAATTTCGAAATAAGTCAATGTCCATATTTTCCTATGCTTCGATCCATTGTGCGGCGTTCTATTCTGCGATGGCAATCAAATTCAACTTGTCGAGTTTGATCGCGTGATTGCGACCCAACTGATTTTTTCCCGTTATTTCGTGTGTTTTTTCTTGTTGCAATTTAGGAATGGAGTTAACAGAGCAGCTAATTAAGGCTGTAAAAATACACAAAATTCTATATGATTTATTCGATCCAAGTGACAAAAATAATAGAATTAAAAATAAAAAGTTTGAAACAAAATTGGAGTTGCAATTGGGTTGGATAGTACATAGATTTTTATTGTTTAAGTTTAAATATTGTAGGTAAATATTTAAGAATGTTTTTTTTCGGTATACATAATTCACATTTTTAATTTGTACCTATGTATACCTACAGAATCGCGCACTACATATAGGTACGGCGGTGAACGTGAACGCGTTGGTGTGTGCTAGAATGATCACTCATGTTATCGCTGCCCTGATCGTAATCGTGATCGTGACCGTGATCGCTCCAGTGTGCGTGTAGCTTAATTCATAATATGTCATTCTGAAATCAAACTAATTATGAAGTTTATGGGTGCTAGGGTAACAATTATCGCTTCAGTGTTAAAAGTAAATCACGTGACTTACTTTTAGCACTAGTGCTAAAAGTAAATGACTTTTACCATCAGTGACATAATGTCACATTTTAGGCACTGACAGCATGCGTTAAACATTACATTTTTACTGACGTTTGTAGAAAAAATATGTTTTAGTGGTGATAGTGCTGTAATTTTTTTTTCGTTACCATCAGGAGCGGATACAGAAATTTAGTTTAGGGGGAGGGCGGAATGTATTTAAGGGGGTGGCATATAAAAGGTAATGTAGAATATACTTTTTAGAGCGCTATTTTTAACCCAAAAGGTTAATATTTAACCCAAATTATAGATTTTAGGGGGGAGGGCTTAGCCTCCCCTCTAGGTCCACCACTGGTTACCATGATAGTTTTACATTTATAAATATCACTCTCTCTTCTTAGCTGTACTTCTTCACTGTTGAATTTGGATTGTGTAAACAAGATGGGGAACTGAAAGTTTACGGTGCCGGACTCCTCAGCAGTGTAGCTGAGCTGAAACACGCCATCGAAAACGCCGATGCGAAGGTAAAACGTTTCGATCCCGATCTCACCTGTCTTCAGGAATGCATTATAACCGACTATCAACTTGGGTACTGGTACACGGATACATTCGAAGAAGCAAAGGAAAAAATGAGGTAAACATAAATTGAGGTTAAGAACCTGGGTTTAATACAATGACTAAAGAATATAAAGACATACAACACCCGAGACCAAATTGTTACCATGGCTCCAAACAGTGCCGTGGCCATATATATTTTTCTTAACTTAGCTGCTTGAAGGGATATTCATATTTTTGATAAATGTTTTGACTACGCCTATGGTGTGAGCGGTGGTATCCTACTAATTAATTACGAAAAAAAACGCATTTAAATGTTAACAAAAGGTATAAAACTAGTATCGACGTATAGCACATATCAAGTACAGGGTGTCCCACTAAGAATAGCTCTCGGCTGTATCTCGGAAAGTATTAGCCGTAGGGGCTGCGGAAAAAAATATTTATAACTAAAGAGGCTATGAGAAATTGCTGGAAATTATTTTCAAGTTTGTAGAACGATCGCTAGGGGGCGCAACTGCAACAAAAAATAAGAAAATGGTGTTTTTACACAATTTTGCCTAGATAAGGTGTACTATAAGTAATAGCTTCTTAATCTTCAGTAAATTTTGAATATTTTTTGTTAGAGCCATTTTCCCCTATCTACCAAAATAAAGTGGTGGGGGAAGGTTAGATCTGTTTGTATTTAAATATTAATAACTCTGGACTGGATGATCTGAATCCAACAAGCGAGGGCTCGTTTAAAAGAGCGTTTCTTGCTCTATATTATACCATATAAACAATAATAATAAACTTTCGAACGTAGACGCTAGGGGGCGTTGTCTTACAAATTAACAAACATTGCGCGTTTTTTGGCTGATTGTAAAGAGTCTCTCTCTCTCTGTCTTAATTCCTACAAGAGGAATGTAGTGGTCAGGTGATGTGTGAGGTTTGTCTCCATAATTCCCTGTCTTGTGTTTCATGTACAAGCGTGTGCAGTGGCTTGTGGGTGATCTGTGATAGCTGGTCTATCCATCGGGAGGGCGAGCAGCCTCTTGGTCTTCTTCCCGGAACCTTGACCTGTATAATAAGTTTTTCCATACAGTCAGTATCCCTCCTCATAACGTGACCGAAACATTTAAGTATACGTTGCAAAGAGTAGTAAAAGCTTAAAAAGTCAGCGAAAACCGCATCTTGATATCTTCTTTCAAACCGAAGATATTAGCAAAATTATAATAAATACGAAAAAATAAGCCTTTCATTACCTTATTTTTACAACACGGTATCAGTAGCCCTCTTGATTATGCCTATTCTAACAAAAAATAAGATAGAAACAATTAGTTTATTTTAAAATCGACGTAATACCAGAATACCATAATACCAGAGGTATTAATATCTATTAATTAGGATATTAATAATAGTGAACAAGAAACGATGATTCAGTGATGTCATGGTAGGCTTTGGAAAAAAGTTGCTTTTGACGTAATAGTATAAACGTCAAATTGTTATTAGATCAACATTTTGATAGTCTTAGCAGCGTTTTTTATCTTTTGATTGCTTTTTCAAAATGCCGACAACTTCAACTACTTCAAATAATAAAAGCAATAAAAAACGCTGCTAAGGCTATCAAAATGTTGATCTAATAACAATTAGACGTTTATACTATTACGTCAAAAGCAACTTTTTTCCAAAGCCTACCATGACTTCACTGAATCATCGTTTCTTGTTCACTGTTATTAATATTTTAATTATTAGATATTAATACATCTGGTTGTGATGATCTGATGTGATCTGGTATTATGGTATTCTGGTATTTCGTCGATTTTAAAATAAACTAACTGTTTCTATTAGAGTCTATTTAAAATAAATTAACAGTATCTATTGAGTTATTAATATTTAAATAAAAACGGATCTAACCTTCCCCCACCGCTTTATTTTGGTAGATAGAGGAAAATGGCTGGAACAAAAAATATTCAAAATTTACTGAAGATTAAAAAGCTATTACTTATAGTACACCTTATCTAGGCAAAATTGTGTTAAAACTCAATTTTCTTATTTTTTGTTGCAGTTGCACCCCCTAGCGGTGGTTCTACAAACTTAAAAATAATTTCCAGCAATTTCTCATAGCCTCTTTAGTTACAAATATTTTTTTCCGCAGCCCCTACAGCTAATACTTTCCGAGATACAGCCGAGAGCTATTCTTAATGGGACACCCGGTACATATAGTATCATAAAAATAGTTACCAAATTCAATAAGAAAACGCTAAAAAGTTGGAGTGGACTGTTTATTTAGTTATGAAACGCAACTCCTGGCTCCTTCTTATCGTTGCGGCTTTTACATTTGAAAGCTGAACACTTTACCATTGTAATAAAGTTTATACAAAATTCACTACACACAACAAATTATTAAAAATCGCTAAAATTGTCGCTGTTGACGAGGTGGTCATCATCTGTAGGCTCCAAAATGTTGGCGTCTAACGTAACAAATTCTGCTGCAGCCCGTATATGGGCGTTACATATCCTTGTATTCTTTAGTCATTGGTTTAATATTAGTGTTGTAATAGAGAAAGCGTTCCCATTCGTGACGATGGTATGTTTTGCACACTCAATATTCTCAAAATTCTCATTTTTCTCGAGAATAATAAAAAAATTGATAAAATCTGTTTAGGGCGCACAGTGGGGTATTTGACACCGATAGTTGATCGAAATTTTTTTATGTAGACCTTATATAAATTATTGCTATTTTCAATTAAAGAGGAAATAATATGAACTAAATAAAGGATAATTCGTCTATTCTAAAAAAAAAGAAAAATCACTGTTCCAGTGTTTCCACGGTCAATGCCACTAATGCCAGTAGTAATATCGCAACTAATACTACTAATGCTACGACTGATCCGCGACCAATTTTCATATCACTAATGCCGCTACTAATGCCAAATTGTGCTATACTGCATCAATGCCATCGCGGTTTACACCTCGCATTAGTATATCACTGGTTTGCAAATTAGAGGAAACCAAGAATGTTTTTCTCATTTTATCAGCAAAGTCGCAAAAAGTCGCAGTATTTTATTTTACTGTATGAAAGCCCAATGTTTACTAAGTAAAACGTATATAGACAATATGCTGAATTCTTCGAAATGCGCAACTAAATCTCTAAGTATAATAAAAATGTCACAAATTTTATCAAATTTTCTGAACGCCTAACTTTTAGTTGCAAAAAAAATCGTTAGTATAGAGAATATCAAAATAAATAATATGTTTTTGTAGAATACATACCTGCAGCTTGCTGAGCCATTTTCAATGAAAACAATAATATAAACGTTAAAGGAGCACAAGAACAACAATAATTTATAATTTTAAACATAAAATTTAGCCATTTACCTCTTATCTCTGAGAAGTAACAACTTTGACGTTTCGTTGAAGCAAATGAATGCTACTAAACACACCCATAGCAACGCCATTCATGACAGACATGATTTAACTTATTATTTATCTTTTTTTGGGAAATCTTAAACACATTTGCTTTTTCGAATTTCGATCACCTTTTTCATGCTAATACCACCCTAATACTCCACCGTGCGTCACCTCAAGGAAAGCAGTGGCAAACCACCTTGAGTATATTTGCCTTGTACAGCCTCTCAAATATGCCGTTCGGATTCGACAATAAACTGTAGGTCCCGTGTACTTGTGAAACACTGATGACACACATCACAAGTACATGCGAGAGGAGCCGACGCTCTATATAGAGTATAGCACTGTAAGAAGAAGAAGAAGGGTGAAATTAAGGCTGAAAGTCTGGAAAAAATAGTTAGAGCGGTTATACAGGGTGTCCCAGATATAAGTGCAAGTATTTTAACTGGAAGTATAGTTCAACTTCAGAAACACACCTATGAGGGTTTTTTCGCGAAAAAATAATTCTGAAAATTGGAAATTTTCTGAAACATTTTTTGGAATTTTTTTTAGTTTTTAGTTAAAAAACATAATTTCTTGATAATATGGCAACATAGGTATTAGATTAAATTTACAAGAAAGAATCCAGAAAAGATCCAAAATTTTAGGAAAAAATCATTTTTTTGGAAATTTTCAAAGTAAAAGAACTCCGTTATTTTGGACTCCGTTATTTTGGACTCCGTTATTTTGAAAAACCATAAAGAGAAAATATGTTTCTTTTATCGAGATCTACCACCCCTTAAAATACTTGCACTTATTTCTGGGACACTCTGTAGAAGTATGAAATTTATAATACGCACAGAGGTCCTCTTAATGGCAAAATTGAGTACTAACAAACGAATATTAATTTAAGTTGTATCGAGACTTCTAATGAAACGATGTTTCTTGACACTATTATCTTATAAATCAAGGAATGTTATTTATTATAACTATAATATTTTAACAGTGATATATTATCGGGAAGCGGTCTGAAAAAAGGAAGCGGTCTGAAAAAGCTTCTAAATCAAACTCAATTTATTCTATAGCTCTATATTTCGACATGGTTTGTCTTCCTCAGGAGCGTAAAACTAAAAAAAAATCAAAAAACAAAAATGTTTTTCATCTTCAAACACAGTAACAGCAAATTATAGCAATAAACATTAATTATTATTATTTTTAATAACATTATCATATTATTAATATTTTATTTTGTTCAAGAACTTTTGCTGAAAGGATTCAAAAACCCTTCGGCTTACGATACAACCCTTACACTCAGAGCGTGGAGGTTCTGAGCAACGCTCAGAAAATCACTGCGGTCGTTTCTGAGCTCAGAGGAGACCTGTGTATCGTGAACAGCGCTCTGAAGAAGATCGGAGCAAGAGATTCAACTTTGGACGTGAACAGAATAGCAAATCTGCTACAGACTGGGTTAATCACTGAAGATCTATCCTTGGAGAACGGACAGAGTATTGACGAACATGGTGTGGGTAAAAAGGAATAAAAAAAATTAAGAATATAACTTCTGATAATAATTGATTAAATAAAACATGCTGGATTTAATGATGAAAAAAAAATTGTTTGAACTAGGCTAATTTTATTTTTTAGAGCAAACCAAACCAAACCAAACCAAACTAATAACAAAAATGTATAATAATAACAATAATTATAAGAATATATTTATCATTATATATGTATAAAATAGAAGTCGAATAGTGCGATGATAATAATATTAAATATGTATCTATATAAAAAGAAGAACTATATAAATAACAACGAAATAATAAAGATGTTAGAAGAAGAAAAATTATCTTTTATTTCAACCTTTTTTGTTGACCTTTTGGCAAGAATGGTAGCTTTTCAGCCGCTAAAGTCACCTTTTCTGAACAGAACTCAAGGGAGAAGTAAAGCTATACAGGGTGACTTATAGTGTTGCCAAAGACCACTGCATTAAATTTATTATTTGACGACTTCACTAAAATAATTTTTGTAAAATACATATGCAGTAGAAACTTTGCATAAAAAGGTTAAGGAAGGAGAATACAGGGTGTCCCAGGCTGAGCTTGAATTAGAAGTTTCTAGAGAACTACAATATCTAGATCGGAGATTTTTTGTACATCATGGTAATGATAATATATAGGGTGTACCATTTGAAAAATTTGAAATTTCTTAATATAATAATAATATAATATAATGTAAAGGGGGGTCCGAACTGTATTCCCGAAACTTCGGTAGCATACTCTGCAGATAAAAATAAGTAAAAAAAATCGTATAAATTCATATCCTAAAATGCTTAGTTTCGGAGATACAGGGTGTAGAAGTTTCAGTTTTATTTCGATTTTTTCCAAATAATTTCTGAAATAACGTCAATATTTGGATGAAAATTGGTATCTGGGAGTTTTTTGACAAGGAAAATTTGATTATGATGTCAATATGACTCCTATTTGTAGGGGGCGCCACCTACATGTGTTTTATCTCTTATGAAGAGAAATAACTTTTCGTCCGTACCTGTATAAATCTACTGAGTGAAAAAATATACATTTTCGTGATTTCTTACGTAAAAAATGTCTCTTGGTAAAAATCGCTACGAGCAACTGTTCTCAAAATATTTAGAATGGAAATAGTCAATACATGTTATTATTGACAAAAAAGTCACAGATTAGGTATAATACTATACTATATGTATGTATACAGATAAAAATCTTGTCCCTAATTCGTGGTACGAAAATTGTTTTTTATGACGATGAGCAAACGAGTAAAATTTCCTGTGCGCAAAAATCAACTCGCGTTTAAACAGCGTAATAACTGGGCCGGTCAGGCGCTGTGCACAATTTTAGAGGCCATAAGTGGGCGTGCTATGTGCGCAAACTAGTAACCTAACTAGTGCGCGACTCCGAAAATTGGAACCACGAAAAACAATGCTTTTGGCGATAAGTTTATAATCTGTATGATCTGTGAAAAAATTAACATGTCGAGTAGATAGTTATTTGATCGAAATGATAAATTTGGGAATTTTTTTATATTTTTAAATAAATTTTTCTTTGAAAAAATGATGATAAAACAGTTTCTGTTGAACTTTTGGCAAAAAACATTTCAAATTTATGAATTCTAATAACTATTTAATCAACATGTTTAATTTATGTCAATGATGACAGGTATTGGTAATTTCGATTCTAAATATCTCAAGAACCATTACTCGTAGCGATCTTTACCAAGAGACTTTTTTTACGTAAAAAACGTCTTAAATGTATATTTTTTGCTCAGTTGTTTTATACAGGTACCGACGAAAAGTTATTATTCTTCAAACCAGTTAAAACATACGTAGGAGGCGCCCTCTACAAGTAGGAGTCATATTGAAATCAAATTTCTCATGTCAAAAAACTCCCAGACACCAATTTTCATCCAAATATTGACGTTACTTCAGAAATTATTTGGAAAAAATCAAAATAAAAAAGAAACTTCTACACCTTGTATTTCCGAATCTAAGCATTTTAGGACATACATTTAAACGAACTTTTTTATTCATTTTTACCTGCAGAATATGCTGCCGAACTTTCCGGAATACAAGTCGGGCCACCCTGTGAATAAAAAAGTTATGGAATTTTACGCAAAATCTAAAAATAAAATAAAAAATTGGGGTTTGCATTTAAAAAAGCATACGTTATATTCGCCACACTTTTTTAAAACACCCTGTATATTCTATAATAATTTTAAAATGTGCATCTTAACCTTCCCTATAACTTTTCTATTTAACATTTTTTAATAAATCCCAAAACAAATGAAATAATGAACTTTACTCTATCGGTCACTCACCCTGTATACTACAAGAAAAAAAACCTGGAAGGCTATATCGGGCAGTTTTAAATTTCCCGCTTTCCTGTCACAATACACGAACCACCCCCGAAATATCGATCGCTACGAACGGCGGTCTCAACAGGGAAAACCGAAGGGCAGGAAAATCAATCCGTCAGTGGTGTGGAGGGGGTAGGACGGAAGAAAAATGGCTGACCTGGAGTTCGAGCAGTTCGGCCAGAAATTCGAGAAAAGCTATCAGAAATGTTCCACCACTAGTTCACCATTTTATTCGTAAGTTATATCTAAGTAATTTGATTAACTTTAATTTTTTTGGCTTCAGTTTTTTACAGTAGTATTGTTTGTTTCTAAACTGTATTAATGTGAACTGGTTGATATAGAGTAGGCCTGCAACATCATCCGTATGCATCACAAAGTAACAGGATTTTGGGTTTTTAGTTAATCTTAACTCAAAATATTCGTAAAACAGGACTTCTTTCTAATATATATTATTGACTAGGATTAGATGGTATATGTTCTTTAATTATAAAATAATCCCTTTAAAAGTATTAGATATATTTGCCCTAATTAAAGATGTTATCTCAGAGAGAGGTTTAATTTATAATATATAGTTCACCTATATAAAACATCAACATTAAACAATGAATAAATGTTATAACACTTTTATTTGTTATGTGGTAAAATAAATTTTAACTAATACTTTTGGTATATTTTGTTTTGATACGTTGTATCTCAGAATATATTAATAATAATTCATTATGGACATTTATTATTGCATTATCAAAATTAGGTTTTATTTTTAATTTTAATTTTAAAATAATCGATCTTTAGATATGATTTATTTTTCAAGGCGGAACAAATATTATACATAAAAAAGTTATTTAATATGCTCAATAATATATACCGTGTAACAGATAAAGTCCGCACCATATATGAAATTTTTTTATTTGTTGATATAAATGAAATTTCCTTTTGGCGTTAGTTTTGCATTAAAATAGATTAAAAATGACATAATAAAATTTACGCTGTTACTATCGACTGTCTGTCATATTTGACATAAAAAATATATTGTCTAAAAATGGGTTTATTGGCTGAATTTTGAAAAACTTTATTTGAAAAACATGTTTTGTTTCCTTTATACCAATTTGCAGCCATTAGGTGAGAAATGAAATTTTGAAATTTATATACAGGGTTGTTCACCACATACGACACGGAGTATTATAGCTAAACGATTAGATTTTTACAAATTGTAAGTTTTGGGTTCGTTGAAGGACTATTAGAGCTACAATTTAAAAATATTTTTACAAGATACAGAGTGAAGAAGAAGTTTCTCACTCATCGACCTTCTTATTCCTTCCATCCATGTTTTCTTGGGACGTCCTCTCTTTCGTTTTTACCAGGTGGAGCCAATGAATGACTTGTTTTGGAATTCTTTCATTGTGCATTCTCTGAACGTGGCCGTACCATATTAATTGTTTTTGTTCTATATCATTTACTATTGTTCTCTCTATTCCCATCTGTTCCAGGTTATATGAACTTCCTGGTTCATTGCAGATTTCTTCTCGATGATCTGTTTCAATGCAAAGATATTATCTGTACATGATCTTCCGCCTCGGAAACCATTCTGCTCTTCTTCTCCTTAGCTGGAGTATTCCTCTTCAATTAAGTTCCTCAGTATCTTTCCATAGAGCCGACTCATAGTGCTGGTGACCGAAATTCCCCGGTAGTTGTTGGGATCCTTCCTTGAACCCTTTTTATATATAGAGGAGATATATGCTTTTTTCCACTGTTCAGATACTGGATGATCATTTAAGCATTGGTTAACTATGTTTGTTAACATTCTAAACAATTTTTCACTTCCAGATTTAATGAGTTCCGCATATACTCCCTCTGAGCCACATACTCTTCCATTCTTTAAAGACATTATAGCGGTTTTTATTTTGTTGGTATCCACGTAGATTTTCTCTCCTTCAATGTTTATTTAAGGCTGTGGCGGTTCTTGATACTCAGGTCGGTTCTCTGACAACAAGTTGGAATAATATTTCACCCATTCTTTGTTAGTTATTATTTCTATAGGGGCCGACTCCTGTTTTTCAGTTGTTGTTGTTCTTATAAATCTCCATACTTCCGTAAATATCAGGGTTGGCATGATTTAAATCAAGTGATTCTTTTAATTTTAATCATCGATTTAAATCAGAAAAAAAATTATTAAAACTTTATTATAAATCAAAAAATAACTGTAAAAGTTATAAAAATGTGTCCTAGAAAAATATAAAAAATATTTCTATAAAAGATATAACAGATAATAAATCAAAAAGTAATCGTAAATATTATAAAACTATATAAAAAAAAGTATCTATTCATCAGTTTAAATGTTGGACCGATTTTTGAAGTAATTTCGTGTGAATTCATTAGACCGCTAAACGCAGGGATTTATTTTAAAATTTATGTATAAGTGACAAAAATTCGCTGTTCGAATACATCATTCGCAGTCTAGTGCAGAACTAGGTTCTTCTGATATAGAGACTATCTTCATTCCCCAGAATCTACAGGGTTGTTCACCACATACGACACGGAGTATTGTAGCTAAACGATGAGATTTTTACAAATTGTAAGTTTTGGGTTCGATGAAGGACTATTAGAGGTACAATTTAAAAATAATTTTACAAGATACAGAGTGTCCCAAATAAGTAAAAAATATCAAAGTTGTATTTTTTTTAAATGGAACACCCTGTATATTATTACATTTTTAGTTTCTACGATTAAAATAAAGGTAAATTTGATTAAGGTTTATTATACTTAAACCTTACCGTTTTTGAAATATTTTCAATTTTGTGAAATTGCAGTAAAAATTTTAAAGCTTCATTTCTCCAAGTGTATCAATGTTTTTAATACTTAATATTTAATGAAGTTTATTTATTGATCAGTTATTGTGTTGCAATAATAAAAATAATACTGCCTTATACAGAGTGTATAAAAATTTATTTTAAATAATGATTAGCTTCAAACGGCAATAACTTGTTTAATTTAAATGGAACACCCTGTATATTTTACGAGAATCAGATGCACAATTTAATTGTCTATCAAATTATATTATACCATTATCTAAGTTTCCGTAGAAAATGCATTTTCTTGTAATTTAGAACTTATTTATCAATATACCCATGGACTATTGACATTTTAGATTATTTTTAAAGATGTACCAAATTTTTAAAGAGTACAGATACTAATATTGTCGATATAATTCGTTTATTTCATTATAAAATTAAAAAAAAACTGTTTAAATATTTGTTAAAGAGGACCAATTAATATGATTCCAGTATTCAAACTACATTAACTGACTGTTTGCGCTGATTAATAATAATTGCTTCAAATACTAATATACTGAATTTTGTATGGGCATTAAATAGTGTAATAAAAAAAATGATATTTCATTTTTTAATAAATGCTTATTTATAACAACAAAGACTTTAATTTGATAACTTATTATTATATTGATTTCTGACTCAAAAATCCACATTTATTTATAATAATTTATTAACGAACACAATTAAGTATGTCATTAATTAGTATATGGGCGGAAATAATGGTGTTATATTTAATTAATGGTATACTCTTTTATAAAGATTTAAATAGTTTTCTTTTTGCATACAAATGGGCTAGTAATATTATCGTTTTGCTAAAACGATAATATTACTAGTCTGTACATTTTGTACATTTGTTGCTTTAAAACAATCTAAAATGTCAGTATTCCATGGATATATTGATAAATGAGGTCTAAATTATAAGAAAATGCATTTTCTACGAAACTTGAAGGGATAGGTAAAAAATGGTATAATACAATTTGATAGACAATTTAATTGTGCATCTGATTCTCCTAAAATATACAGGGCATTCCATTTAAATTAAAGAAGTTATTGCCGTTTGAACCTAATAATTATTTAAAATAAAATTTTAGACACTCTGTATAAGGCAGTATTATTTTTATTATTGCAACACAATAACTGATCAATAAATAAACTTCATTAAATATTTAGTATTAAAAACATTGATACACTTGGAGAAATGAAGCTTTAAAATTTTTACTGCAATTTCACAAAATTGAAAATATTTCAAAAACGGTAAGGTTTAAGTATAATAAACCTTAATCAAATTTACCTTTATTTTAATCGTAGAAACTAAAAATGTAATAATATACAGGGTGTTCCATTTAAAAAAAATACAACTTTGATATTTTTTATTTATTTGGGACACTCTGTATCTTGTAAAAATATTTTTAAATTGTAGCTCTAATAGTCCTTCAACGAACCCCAAACTTACAATTTGTAAAAATCTCATCGTTTAGCTACAATACTCCGTATCGTATGTGGTGAACAACCCTGTATAATAATAATTGTTGTCACACACACACACAGGAAATATGTTGTTTTATATTTTTTTTGAAATGGTTGTATTTTTCCAAATTCTTACCGACATTTTGTCCTGCAGTAAGTATTTTACACTTTGACTAATACTAATTTCAGTCTCGACGTAAGAGTATTTCCGAACAATAATGTATTGTTTTATTAGAAGTAAAAATTATACTTTTTTGATGATGCTGTACCTTTGAAGGACCATCGTAAAGCTATTCCGACGTTACAAGGAAGGACAAAAAGTACATTTTTACTCCTAATAGAACATACATACTATTTTTTTAAAATATTTAAATTTAAAACATTTTTAATCAATTTCGAACATTGCAAATAATATAAACAGGAATCGAGCAACAATTTGTACACTCGTTGAATTTGACACTTAATATCAGTTTAATAATATATTTTTGTACTTTTGTGCTTATAGGCGTAACAGTGCTTTACTTTTATACCTAGGCGTTAAAATGACTAAAATTAATACTTTTGAGACGTTTGAAAAACAATTCTTTTGATCTGAAGCGAGCGATTTTTTTGCGAAATTGGTGACCGATGTGGAAAAATGACAAACGCACCCTAGAATTATTAATTTTATCCATAACGGGCAGAGTTATAAAAATTTAGCCATTTAGGATAGGACTTTAACTTGAAATAAGTCCTAGACGTTTGGAAATCCGATTTAAATATTGTTTTAAATTAAAATCAAAAAAATTTGATTTAAATCAAATAAATCTGATTTTTTAAAAAAAATCATGATTTTTTCCTGAAATTTTTATAACCAGCCGATTCTCATGGTAGAAGCAAAAATATTTGAGTAATACAAAATCAATCTTCGACAGCCAAATTTGCTCCAGAGGGTGCTAATCGAATTTAAAATACTCGGTATGTGTGTCTATTTATACAGGATCGCTGATATGTATGGAAACGGTCGATTATTGAGTAAAATATACGAGGTACCGCAAAAAGGTAAACATAAAAGTTATAGGGGTTTTAAATGTCTATTGGCGAGTAATAAATTTAAGTATACAGGGTCGGTCATAAACTCGTGACACATCAATGTTTCATTTTTTTTTAAATGGAACCCTCTGTATATTATTGCATATTTCAATTGTTCCTTCAATTGTAAGCAAAAACAGAAATACACACAATGTACCTTATACGAACCGTTTCCGAGTTATTGACTTTTGAAAATATCACTTAAATAATCCGATTTAATTAATTTTAGTTTGTTCCGTTTCATTTAACGATGCCATATTCTGCGGAAACTGTGATACTTTATAATATTTGACATTAATTTTCAAGTTAGCATTTTATATATGTATAAAATGAGATTACCTTATATCAAGTCTGGAAATTACATAATTTTCGATTAACATGTCAAAACCAAAACTCGATATCTCGGAAACGGTTGGATTTAGGTACATTATTTGTATTACAATTTTTGCTTAAAATTGACAGAAGAATTGAAACACCCAACAATATACAGGGTAAAAAAAGGTACTTTAAAAAAATGAATCTTTGAGGTGCCACGACTTTATGATCGACCCTATATACTTAAATTTATTACATGATGTTAGGCATTTAAAAACCCTATAACTTTTGTATTTAACTTTTTGTGGAACCTCGTATACTTTGCCCAATAATCGACCGTTTCCATATATGTATATCGCAGCGACGCTGTATGATCGAAAAAGAAACGGCGTCAGCGATGGCTATGAAATGAAGATCGCTCTCATTTTGTATGTAAAATTATATAGGGAATGTCATCGATCGTCTTTTTCAAGCCAACTGGACGCCGTATTTTTTCGATCATACGGTATATCAATTGTGTTGATTAGTTTTTTTATTAGTTTCTTCTCTCCGTCTTTTCCATCATGACTGACTTAGCATGATCTGTCAAAGAAATCAATTTAAAAATGAAAGGCGCTGTAGGTATACAGGATGTTTCAAAAAACATGTGCCATCTCTCGTGGGGAGATTCCTGACGTAAAAATAAGATTTATTTTTCATATCAACATATAGGCCCGATTCTGCTTTGTTTCGTAGCTACAGGGTGTTAAAGTTTTAATATTTTTTCGATTTATTATAATTTTCTTCCAAGTACTTTTAGCGTTTTGAATGAAATTTTGAGGGTAAAAGTTACTATAAGTACGACATATTTTAAAGCTAAAAATATGTCGATATATTCACCAGTGACGTGCATATGGGTTATCATTAGAATATTTTTTTAAAAAAAGCATGTACGCCACTGACTTTTTTTTCTCTTGTTAGCGGAATTGTATCATAGTATCAGTTTAATGCTGATTAAAAGTTGTCTCTTGATATTTTGTCGATTTCCGCCTACTTGATGAGATAAACGCAATTTTATTAATTTGCCTAGATCCAAGTCTAATCAACCTCTTAAAAATGTGAATATCATTAACTTGTGAATGTTTTAAATAAGTACTTATTGATTCATCATTAAAAAGATATGAAAAAATAATTATTTTTTTATTTGAAATTGCTGTAGGTTGGACTAATCGTAATAATAACTAATAGTAATAATATTTAGCAATAAATTAGGTAAAATATATAATTTATTAATTTTATTTTTATTTTAATTTTATTAATTGTGATTAATAAAATTGCTTTATGAGACTTTGGCCGCCATATTTAAGTAATTTCCGACATCAAAGTCTCATACAGCAGCTAACATCCCTGATTCAAAAAATTCTTTACCAACACAGGATACCCGATGAATGGCGAACCAGCACCACTATCTTGATGTTTAAGAGAGGAGATAAGAAGCTGCCCTCAAGCTTAGGCATAAATCTTCTAAGCACCACACTAAAACTTATGACAAAAGTGATAACAACCAAAATTAACGACTTAACATGCTTAGTAGATGAACAGCAAGGTTTCAGATCGGGTAGATCATGCACAGACGCGGTTTCTGTCATAAGACAGATAACAGAAAAATCAATCAAATATAAACAAACCAGCGTATATGTGTTTTATTGATTTAGAAAAAGCGTTCGACCGTGTGCAGCTAAGAGACGTTGTACACCTTCTTTACAATAGGCAAATCCCACATAACCTCGTTAAAACCATACAAAACATATATGAAGCGAACCAAATTCGAGCTAAAATTAACGGGGTCCTGACTGAACCAATAAATGTAGGCTGTGGTATCAAGGGAGTCACAAGGTGACTCCCTGAGCCCTCTTCTTTTAAACATCATTATGGACGAAATAATAGGAAATGTACGTTTACTGAAGGGATACAGTATGGGCGATCAGGAAATTACTATTCTATGCTATGCCGATGACGCCGTATTGGTAGCTGAAAATGAGAACGATCTACAGCGCTTATTACATCGATTTAATTGCACTGCCAAATCACTTAATATGATAATATCGACCCAGAAAACTAATTGCATGACGACATCAAAAGTACCACTAAGATGCAAACTGGAAGTCGAGGGCAATGTTATTCAGCAAGAGATGAAGTTTAAGTATCTAGGCATAGAAATCTCAGGATATGGTGATGTAGAAGCGGAGGTGCGAGAACGGACAACGAAGGCAACCAGAGTAGCAGGATGCCTGAATGATACAATATGGCGAAATAAAAACATTGAGGTGGAGACTAAAGCGAGAATTTACAAGGCAACGGTACAACCAATAATGACATACACTGCAGAAACTCGACCTGATACAGCGAAAACTAAACAACTACTAGAAGCAACCGAAATGAGAGTACTACGCAGAATAGCTGGAAAGACGCTTCTGGACAGGGAGAGAAATGAAAGCATAAGAAGAGCGTGCAAGGTGGAAAATGTAAATGAGGGGTACTCAGCAGAAAGGAAGAATGGAACGACCATATCAGCAGAATGGACAACAGAAGGATAGTGAGAGTTGCACGCGACAAATCACCGCTTGATCGCAGAAGCTTAGGACGTCCACGAAAACGATGGACCGACAACTTGTCAGTCTGACCGGTAGAGACGACGAAACCAAACAGGCGATTCGCCTAGTATGAAGAAGGAAGAAGGAAGAAGAAGAAAATTGCGTTTATCTCATCAATCAGGCCGAATTCGACAAAATATCAAGTGATAACATTTATTTGGCATTAAACGCCCTATACACAATTTTGGATATCAAAAGAAAAAAGTCATTGGCGCACATGTTTTTTTTTAATATTTTAGTGTTAACCCATATGCACGTCCCTGATGAATTTATCGACACTTTTTTAGCACTAAAATATGTAGCACTTATAGTAGCTTTTACCCTCAAAATTTCATTCGAATCACTAAAAGTGCTTGGAAGTAAATTATAATAAATTGAAAGATTATTAAGATTTTAACACCCTGTAGCTACGAAACAAAGCAGAATCGGATCTAAATTGATATGAGAAATAAATCTTATTTTTACGTGAGGAATCTTCCCACGAGAGATGGCACATCATGTTTTTTGAAACACCCTGTATATTCTATACTACTAATAAAAACAGAGCCGGATTTAGTTAAAATTAATTATAAGAAATTAACTTTTTAGTTCTTTTGATAATGTCTCTATATATGTAGGTACTATAATGGTTAAATTGAATATTTAAATACTGTTAAAATGTCGTCGCTTCTAATTTTCTCAGCTATGAAATTCAAAATAACGTTTTACTAAAATACTATTTTTACAATATGTAGTAATAACGAGCAGTCTCAAAATCAAAAATAATTAAAACTAACTTAATCTTATGATACTTAGGCACCTAAATGAACTAAAGGTTTGTTCTTTTTTTTAATAGATTAGTTCACTTGGATGACGACTCTCCTGGCACAACCCCTTCTCCAGAACACGAGCTCAATGACTGTGATATATCCATTCCAGAGGCGCATTCTAGCTTACCGGAGAAACATGGACCTCAATCGTGTAAGAAAAATCTCTAATAATATATTCTATTTCTCAAATTATTATTATGTTAATGTCGTAAATACATAATAAAATTTTAATTAATACTGCTGAAAACTTTTGGAACCTATTTTAAATGAGAAAAAAGAATAAAGGTTTATTTTTAAAAGCTTCTTTTAAACTTGAATAAATTAATTGTAATTATTACGTTTGAATAGGAAATGACTTACTAATGGCGTATTAAAATAGTACTACCTTTGAAAAGTAAGTGTTAACAAATACATTTATGGGAGTAAGCAGGTAAATCTAAAAAAAATGTTTAAAATCTAAATTAAATGACAAAAAATGGAGACAATGGAAAAAAATTATTGGAAAGAAATGATAAGGAATGATTTTTTCAAGATTTTAATATTGAAGTTGAAATAATAATATTTGTTATATGACAATTTTGTAATATGTGGTCATGATAGATATCACATGACACATGTCGATATAATTTCTTTGTAATTTATGTTATAAACATTTTGACCCACATGTTATAAACATTTTGACGCACACTGTACCACAAACCGCCTGCACCCACATATAGAAAAAATCCTTCCAGAATCGCAAACGGGGTTTCGCACCACCGTCGATTCCATATTTTCCATCCGCCAACTACACGAAAAAGTAAAAGAGCAGCAGTCTAAACTTTATGTTGCATTTATCGACCTAACACTCTCGCCTTCGACTCTGTGAACAGAGATGCACTTTGGGCAATTATGAAAAAGTTCGGAGTACTCAACAAATTTCTTACAGTGCGTAAAAACCCTCATAACAACAAGTCAAGAGTGTCACATCATGGATCACTGAGCGATCCCTTCCTTACGAAAACAGGAGTTAGTCAGGGACATAAAGTAACTAAAATAAAAGAGTGTTTGAAAGGTTGTCTAACTTGGCCATAATGTTGCATAGTTCAGTTAGGGCTCCAAAGCGTCGCCACCTGCTACCTGTCACGTGTCATTACAAGAATGACAAGTGACATGACAGCAAATTATTTATATTTTGCAATTGTTTACAATTTTGTTTTGTATTTTGGAATTTTGTTATTATTTTGTGTAGCATAAACTTTGTTTGTTTGTGTTGTGTTTGTGCGTACAGAAATTATGGACGAAGTTTTATTTCCCGAGGAACCAGAGACCTTATATTTCTCTATGATTTGAACTTTATATTTTTGTGCTGTGTTTTGCCATCATCATGTAATATTTTGTTCAGCCGATGATGTGATTTGAACACGATCCAGGAAAGGGTATCATGCAAAGCAAGTTCGATATGTAAAGACATTGCCCATCTCTGAACTCTGTGAACGTAAAACGAACTGACTATAAATTTGCCCCTTCATTTAATAGTGTTGACCATTTGCTACCTCAACTGAATTTCAACTGCTGACTGCTGAGTTTATAAATCCAACTTAAAGATGAATTAATTTTTGATGATGTCTTATTTAAATCTTTATCTGTTATAATAGCATAGATTGCAAACCCTGCGATCTTATATGCTTTGTTAGTGGCGTTGTTAAATACGTTTTATAATACTATAGGTAAATCGAAGGGTAAACCGCTGGTGTATTTTGGTGGTGTACAAGATGTTGGCATTTTCGTGGCATTATTGGTATTAGTACTAAATTATTTGGCATTACTTTGGCATTAGTGTACAGAAATTCATCAGGAGTTTACCCCTCGAGGTTAATTCAGCATATATGTTTTATATTATCAAATTTAATTTAGCATTTAACTGTAAGCATTTGAAAAGTGTACAATAGTTTATACTTTTCAAATATTCCGTTTTTAAAAATAAACTTTCATTATATTTTTACAGTTTTAATTTCGTAATATTTTTAAAAATACATAAAATTTTATATTCACATTGAAACAGCCCGCCTTTTTTGTGGTAGGCAATGCAGATACCTATTTTACCGATAAGGTCTGTCATATTTCGATTAGTTCAGTTAGGGCTCAAGGGTGCGCTACAATCGATCCTCGTTAAACGTGTTGCCTACTTTTGACTATGGAAATGACTACTCTTTTATTTTATATTTCTCTATGGTCAGGGATGTGTCTTAGCGCCTCTCCTAATCAACATATTCATGGCAGCGCTCTCCATTATAGTGGACAGCAAACTGCAAGAGTGAGGATTTTGTCCATTAGATATAGATAGGACGGCGGTCTGTTGTCTGTTCAACATAAAAAGGCTCAGGGCAAAAACATGTACAAAATTCATCACAGAACTTCAATACGCTGATGACTGCGCTCTAGTTGCAAAAATGTTTCAACAATTACTAGAAATGTTGAACACATATACCTGGGCATACGAGGCTTTGGACCTTAAGCTAAACATCGACAAAACCAAAAACAGTGCACTCCCCCGGACAATCACAACAATGCTATAAAAATCGAAGAAGAACTATTGGAATATGTAGCGGAATTCAATTACCTCGGCAGTTTCATTTCGGAAAAGCGCCTCAACAGCATTCTGCAAATTAAAAGTCAGGGTTTTCTACAATCATGACTTGAGTACAAAAACGAAACTTGCAGTGTACCGAGCAATTAAAATCCCCACCATGTTATATGGTAGCGAAACCTGGGTGCTGTACCGCCGACCATCATGTCTCAAATGAATCGGTCGTTGAAAAAGCTAACTGCGAGAGTATTGAAGTCATGATTACCAAATCCCGCTTAAAATGGGCTGGTCACTAGCGATGGGAACTATCGAATGAATTAGACTATTGAATGGTTACTGAATGAATGATTTCAACTATCGAATGGTTTTATTGGAATAAAATCATTCATTCATTTGTATACTAAAGTATATGTGACAACCTCGCCGTGCGACTAAATGGTTAATCGTTGAGCCACGACTATCGAATGCTTTTGATAAATGAAATTTAGTATTCATTTGATTTTTGTGTGCGTCAGTGCATTCATTATTAGTTCTTCCAAATTTTTATAACTTCGCCTTATAAATACTGTGCTATTTTTAGGTTTATTAAAATATTTAAAATACTAAAATAGTAGCTTTTTTTAACTGACGATTGTGTGTGTTAATTTGTGTGATTTTCCGTAGCCCGATCTTTCAATTATTTAATTTTATATGGTATATGGTCTATTTTTTAATGGGAAATTTTGAGAAGTAGCAATTTTTAAGAGAGATGAGATGATTAGTTGAATTTAATAATCATATTTAAGTAATGTGGTTAAGTAAATGGTTATCGAACTCAAACTATGGGGTGAGAAAATTAAATTGAAAGTTTTACACGTGCCAATTTAAAAAAAAGTTAACGATGTTTGTATTTTGTTTATGCTAATTCTCTTACATGTAGTTTTTTGCGAAGAAATATTTCATTTATTTTTTAAAGTAAATGCCAGTAAAAGTAAATATTATTTTTAAATAGTAACACTAAACTAATATAAATAATTTGGATTTCTAATTGTTTATTTATATTTTCCTTCCATTACACTGCATGCTTAGAAAATTAATAAATGTTTATATTTCATGATTTTAAAATTTGTTGTTAATATAACAAATTAGTTCTGTAATTATTATTATTTAATAAACCAACATTGCCAAAAAATTTAGAGACTATATTATTTTTAAATAGGATCTAATATAAATAATTTTGATATCTAATTTGTTGTTTATATTTTGCTACTACTTAAAAAAAAATGTTTATATTAAATGATTTTAAATTTTGTTGTTAATAGGTATAACAAATTATTACTGTTATTATTATTTATTAAACCAGTCTTTGCTTAAAAACATTAAAAATCATTTTTCTAACCTACATCCAAAATAACAAGTATTATTGCAGTGTAAGAACAGAATATTAATAAAAAAATGCAAAATATATAGACATACTATCCCTAACTAACTAAAGCCAAACAATAATATTCTTTGCTGATATCAATTAATACCAATATATGGCAACAGCGCCCTTCATAATGTATTTTCTGTGTAAATACTAGCACCTCAATAAAAAAAATAATGTGTCCTTATCTTTATCTGACTCAGGAAAAAATCAAAGATGCCGGCTTCTTTCATAGCATTGCCACCGACCGCTGTCGGGTTTCTCGGAAAGAAACCTACGTCGCCGGGCGACAACTAAAATCCAGTTAATATTTTATTATAATCGATCCTGGCGAATAAATGAATTTTATAAATGAATGGTTTTTGCTGCCGAGTTACTTTAATACAATAGTTCAAGGCAGATGACGCATCTATTCGATCATTTTTATTCGAATAGTTTTCAACGAATGTTTTCTTACTAGCTATCGAATTATTCGAATGAATTGCAACTATCGAATGTTTCGATAGTATTCATTCCATAGTTCCCACTACTACTGGTCACGTATGCCGAATGCAAGAAAACCGCATACCAAAATGTCTGCTTTACGGTGAGCTTGTAGAAGGTAAGAAGAGGCCGGGTGGACAACTCAAAAGGTACAAGGACAGTTTTTACGAAAACTGAAATGGGATTAATATGCAGAATGAGTCGGAAGAAAGAGCTCACAATAGAACTCAATAGGATCAACCCTCACAACCGACCCAACCAAAAAGTAAAGTGGCAACAAAGTAATGAGATTTTTGAATGTCCGGAGTGCGGTAGGCTTTCGTTTTCATTCGCAAAAAAGCTCATGAAAGAAAACGCCTTGCGTGACCATTTTCTGATGCGTGTCAAATACTCGTCAGCGAGTGATGGCAGTAGTAAGATCATGTGTGGCTGAATTTTGAATACGACATATTGAAACATTATTATATTTATTTTGTGATAAATTTTCAATTTATATTTGACACTTCTTTTTAGTAAAAGAAGACCGAAGCAAATCGGCTGACAGTTTCGGCAGAGGAGCACCCACCCCACCATGGACTGGTGAAAGACGTCGACGAAAATTACCAGAAATACCAAAAAACAAAAAGTGTAATAAGAACCTGCCTCATTATTTTTGAACTGTGATGTTTAAAATTATATTTTTAATCTACAGCTGCCCTAGTCACAATGTACAACGCTCAACAGCAACTGTCACGAGAAATGTCACTGGCAGAAGAAATGGGTGGGGCCAGCAGCGGACCCAGCTCTCTGCTAGTGCTAAAATGTGGATATTTATGGGACGACTCACCAGAATCAGACAGGTAGGTACATATTTTGTATTTACACTTTACACCTTTGATATTAGCAAATTTACTTTAGAGAAATATTCTAGATATATTTTTTTCTCTCTTCTTTATGTGCCTTTCGTCCCTTTTCAGAAGTTTGAATATTATTATGGCAATTTCAGTTTTTGATATGGCGGCTACAAACAATTTATTGATATTTTTTTTTTCAAACCATATAAGGTTACCGAAAGTACCGGGAGTTCCCGGTTATTTTGAGACATCAAAGAACCGGGGGTACTTTCGGGATTCGGTAATAATAATTAAAAATATATTTTTTATTACGTGCGAAAGACTTTTCATACTTTCTAGCGGTCGAAATCAAATTCTTCTAAATAAGTAATGATGCCAGGGGCGCATATCCGGGAGGGGTAATGGGGGTAATTACCCCTCCCAGAAAGAAATTAATTAAAAAGATAAAATTTGGTATAAAATAAAATTGTTACAAAAAAGTTAATAACACAAATTAAAACAGAATATCCAAACCAATCCAAGTAGATTTTTTTCCACAATTACAATACCTTCCAGCAAAAATTTAATTCAAATTTTGTACTTTTTTGAATATTCACACTACCCCTCCCAGACTCAATCTCTAGATGCACCACTGGCCCTATAACATAGAATACAACATTTCAATGAACAGTTCTTCCCATAAAATCAATAAAATGCAAAATATACGAAATAATATACATATGTACTGATTTCTTTCGAAAATCGACAACTATGAAACTATGATCCCTTCCCCGACACAAACGGTACATCGTGAAACAGGAAATTGTAGAAAGAAACAAGGCCTATACATAGGATACAACATTTTAATGAACAGTTCTTTCCATAAAATCAATAAAATGTAAAATAAACGAAATAATATACATGTACTGATTTCTTTCGAAAATCGACAACTATGAACCCTTCCCGGACACAAACGGTACATTGTGAGACAGAAAATTATAGAGAGAAACAAGCCCTATAACATAGGATACAACATTTTAATCAACAGTGCTTTCCATAAAATCAATAAAATGAAAAATATACGAAATAATATACATGTACTGATTTCTTTCGAAAATCGACAACTATGAAACTATGATCCCGTCCCCGACACAAACGATACATTGTGAAACAGGAAATTGTAGAGAGAAACAAGCCCTATAACATAGGATACAACATTTTAATGAATAGTGCTTTCCATAAAATCAATAAAATTAAAAATAAACGAAATAATATACATGTACTGATTTCTTTCGAAAATCGACAACTATGAACCCTTCCCGGACACAAACGGTACATTGTGAGACAGAAAATTATAGAGAGAAACAAGCACTATAACATAGGATACAACATTTTAATGAACAGTGCTTTCCATAAAATCAATAAAATGAAAAATATACGAAATAATATAGATGTACTGATTTCTTTCGAAAATCGACAACTATGAAACTATGATCCCTTCCCCGACACAAACGGTACCTTGTGAAACAGGAAATTTTAGAGACAAACAAGCCCTATACAGGGGCGCAGATACGGGAGGGATAGTAGGGGTAATGGGGGTTATTACTCCTCCCAAAAAGAAATTAATTAATAAGATAGAATTTGGTATAAAATAAAATTTTTACACATTAACAGAATATCCAAACCAATCCAAGTAGATTTATTTTTTTTTCCACAGTTACAATACCTTCCAGCAAACATTTAATTCAAATTTAGTATTTTTTTGAATATTCACACTACCCCTCCTAGACTCAATCTCTAGATGCGCCACTGAATGATGCTACTCTTACACCCGTATTCATAGTCATTCGCCGGCGAGGCGTTGAAAAATCTCCCAGTCGCACCGCCAGCGAACTTTCGGCGAAGCGAACGATATCAATTTTGAATGCATAGACGATATCCTCGCCGTCGCCGCGCTGGCAACTCGCTATGACTCGTGTGGCGATTTGAGCAAGCGCATTTAATTTGTTTATGTGTTTTTCCGTCCACGGCACGCGACGATTTTTAAACCAGAGCGCGGTACTGATCCCAAAACGTTTTTCTTGTTATTATTGTTTGTTGTCTTTTTGCAATGGCGGTAAAATATTCGGCAAGTGATAAGGAACAATTTATTAAAATGTTGATAAACTATCCTATTATAGAAGATAAAAGGACTGATTCCTATAATATTGAGAAGAAGAAAAAAGCATGGGATAAAATTACGTTAGAGTATAATGAGGTAGCTACAGAAAAGGTAAATATAAAATTTATGTTGTGTAGCTATAATATTCTTTGATATAGGATTTATTATTATGGTTTGAGATAATTATGCATTAAAGTAGATTATATATCTTTTAAACAGGAAATAGAAAGAAATATTTTTAGTAGCTACATTTAAAAAATTCTGTTTATTTTAGAGAACAGTAATCCAGTTAAAAAGATTATGGGATAAAATAAAAAGAAGCAGGAAAAGTGCGTTAGCTGAAGAGAGGCGTGAAGTGATGGCCACAGGAGGCGGGCCGTCTAAACCACTACCACCTTATTCACAACCCGAAGTAGATGCCCTGATACCTCATCTCGATTATGAAGTTAATATTGAAGATGATTCTGATGGCATAAATTTAAAAAATACAGAAGGTAAACTTTCTATACTTTGTTAATCATCAAAACAATTGCTATTTTTATTTGTTTCAGTTGTACGGTCATCAGAAGAGGCAACTGCTTCAACGGTATCAGTCACCTCTTACGTCTTAGTGCCAGAAACCCCAACATTATCCACTCCATTAAACCCAAGTGCTGTTAAAGGTAATATTCTACGATTATAGGACCTAGCAAATATTTTTAAATTAATTATTGTCACAGTCTCGCGCCCCCCTAAAAAAAAGGAAGATCATCTTGATCAGTTGACCAAGGCAAGGTTAGGCCTAGTTGAAAAGGAAGAATCATATATGAAAGAACTTCATGATATCCGTATGGAGGAGGCGAAATATAAGGCGGCGGCTGCCAAGTTCGTAATGTTACAAGAAGAGGCAAAATGGAAGAAAAGTAGAGATGAATAAATAAACGATTAATTTAATAATTAATAAATGATTAACAAGTAATAGTTTTATTTTCAATAGTATGTACCTAATAGTAGATATAGATTTTTAATCAAAATAATTATGAACTATATGGTTTCTCATCACATTACCTAAACCTAAATTTCCTTCACGAAAAATAATTTCTGGAACATCATCGTCGATCTGTAGAGGTTCGTCTATGATGTCACGGTAAGTAATGGAAATATTATGAAGAATAGCACAAGCTACGATAATATAACAGGAAGTGGAGATCTTGGTAGCAAGTCCCCGACTCAAACAAGGAAATCGGCGCTTTAAAACACCAAATAATCGTTCTACGGTATTTCTTGTCTGAATATGTGCTTGGTTGTATCGCCTTTCTCCTGGAGTACGTACTTGTCTAAATGGAGTCAGCAAGTAAGGTAAACATGGATATCCCGCATCACCAAGCAAATATCCAGGAAGTTCTCTTCGTTGAAACTTTCCCTTTAAGGAACTCCTTTGAAAAATGTAACTGTCATGGTAACTTCCTGGATATCGTGAAACAATATCTAATATTTGTAAATTAGGACCTGAAGTTGCTTGTACGTTAATAGAAAAGTATCGTTTTCTATTTCGGAACAGTTCGGCAACATCTCCTCCTGGACTCTTGATAGTGATATGTGTGCAATCGACACACCCTGTGACATTTGGAAAGTTAGCAATTGTACTAAATTGCCGTTGCATTTCCGGAATATCCTCATTAAGTGGAAATGTGATATATGTTCTAGAGTGTGCTGCAAGTCTTCTGGTGATTCTTGTCACAACTCGGCTTACAGTACTTTGGCTGAGTCCTTTCAAGTCTCCACAGACAATCTACAAACATATAATTATATTATTATAAAAGTGTGGCTTTTTTATTTTGTTAATTTTCACCTGAAAACTTCCGCTAGCGTAAAAACGCAACGTTAAAAGTAATCCTATCAATGTGGGTACCGGCAATCCTCTGTTAGTCATGGGTTCACGGACATGTACCATTGGTAATAGAATATCACGCACCACCTCTTTCCTAAATCTAAATCGTTTTTTAAATTGGATTTCACTGTAAAATTCAAAAGGGTTTTCCATATCTCGAATATACCTAAAATAATCAACGAAATAAATAATATCAAATTCAAAGGTTTTCTGCAACCAATTTACCTCCGATGTATATGAAAATCTATGTCCAAAATATCCCTGTGGGCATTATATAATAGATCTAAATCACGTTCCATTGTTAAATCGAATTATTATGAAAAATAAAACAAAATTTAAATTATTTACTAATCTGGCGGTCGCTCGGAGATAGTACTGACCATCTCCAACGAATCGCTAACGCCGCGCCAAAATTTCAGTGAATGCGCATGTGTGTCATTGTTGGCGAACGACTCTGCATGACAAATATGCGTGGGAGATTGGCGAACCGCTGGCGGCGCGCCAGCGATCGTTTATGAATACCAGTGTTACTGTTCTTACTTCTGAAGTTATTTTGAAGTTTCTATAATGTTTATATTAGCAATTATTGAAGTTTAAATATGTTATCTTATTATTCAGTATAACATTGCTGAATGTATTAGTTATATTTTTTTGTGTTATGTTTTTACAGGTATTTGCATCTTTAATTGAAAATGTTAAGTTTTTTTTTCTAATTTAGTTAAGTTGGTTTCGCGAAGTTGGTTGATGTTTGATGTAATTTTTAAGCAACCTGTGTGTTTTCTTTTTTTTTTTTCGCTTGTGTTCATGTTTACTTTCTCATGACTTAAATAATTTTATATTATTTTTATTTAAAACTCAATTTTTTATCGGTTTTACTTTTGAGAACCATCCCTTACTTGTTAATTGACGAACTCCACAATCATTGAACGAAAATATTTTAGTAGGGTTCTGGAAACTCGAATTAATACCACCAATTAGGGTTTAGATCTTTTTGGGCATCACAGAAAAAAAAGAAAGTCCTTTGATACTTTTTAGCGGTCGAAATCAAACTCTTCTAAATAAGTAATAATGATGCTATTTCTTATTGTTCTTGCTTCTTTTCTCTTTTGAAGTTCCTATAATATTTATTATGTTATGTTTTGATAGATATTTGCATTTTTAATTCAATATTTTAGGACTTTTGTCTCAAATTCAGTTAAGTTGGTTTATATTGTTTGATGTGAAATTTAAGTTACCTTTCCTTTTTTCTTTACTTGAGTTCATGTTTGTGTTCATGTTAATTTTTCATGACTGATTACTTAAGAATTTGATATTATTTTCATTAAAAATCTCAATTTTTTATCCTTTTTACTTTGAAAAACAATCCCTTGCTTTCTGATTGATGAACTGCACCACCATTGAATAAAAATTAGTCAGTACCGAAAAAACGGGAAATCCCGGTTCCTAAAGCTGTGTATAAATATGTCGAGACGAGTGCGAGAGACACCCGAGAAGAGTCAACCTCAAGCGGATTTGAGGTTGACTCGTCATATTGGGACGGGGTCTGAGCTTCGAGCCCATTTTTATATAAAAATAAATATTCTTTCCTTTATTTGTAATAATGTTAATAATGCATCCTAACTAGAAAGATGCAATTTTGTCTTCTCTAAAATAGTATAGGTAAGTTAGCTAAAGTAGGTAAATCTCATATACAAAGATTTATTAGTGATTTCTTTTATAAAAACATGAAAATTTTATGAAAAATGAATAAACGTAATGAACTTTTCGTCGAGTTATTAACGGCTCAAACGTAAATTATGCGCTATTTCTGCTGAACGGAATTAAAGATGTAAAACAAGCTTCTTTACATATAGGATACATAGAAGATAAGAGAGGCAAATCGAGTGTGTTGAAAAAAAGGTGGCCATGCTCTCAGAAGTTCCTTACGGTACTCTCATAAATAAAGGGAATCGACAAAGAAAGGAACGATTCGATATAGAAAAATCCAGAAATTTGAAATATCCAGACTACTAAGAAACTTAATTTATGGCAAATATGAAAATAATAAAGTTCCCGCCATAGAAATAATTAAAAAAAAACTCTCCGAGCTTTAAAAAAACCCTGTTCAGAAAGCACATTACGGCGAAGGTTTAAAAAACTGGGAATTAGATTTAAAATTATATACCTACATAATAATATTTTAAAAATTATTAATAAGCGTGTTGCAATGATGGAAAGCCATAGAATAATAATGTAGCGAATTGAATACCTTGAAAAAATATACAACTTTAGAAATGAAGAAATGCAGATATATTATTTACAATATATGTTAGTTATTGGCATTTAAATGTAGATTTAAATTAATAATTTAAATCTTAATTACTTAAATTTCTAATTTTTTAAATAAATAAAGTCGAATTAGGCCTTATCTTACAGCGCTTTCAAATGAAACGGAGCGTCCGCGACTTCGAGCAAGTACCATGAGCTTATATGAACAATTTCACCTGGGTCGCGTATGCTCCGTCCGGATGAGCTATCTTGAAAAAACATCCGTGCGGACGCTCTGCGCGTACGGTCCGCTCCATCTGAAAGCGCTGTTACTCTATTTAAAAATTTTATAGATATACAAACCACATACAAAATATATTATTGAATAAAATAATTAAAGACTCAAAAAAACGGCACTTGCAGAAGGCTCCGCCGCCGCGCCGGTCGACTGGGCAGGGACTCTGCTCGAGGCTAAATCGCTCGGCTCGAGGCTATAATATGACGAATTCCGCTTGAGGTTGACTCGTCTCGTCCTCGTCTCGGCATATTAGTACGCCTTTTGGAAAGAATTTGCTATAGCCTCGTTTCATACTCGTTTCGGGTTTGTCTCGTACTTGCCTCGGCATATTTATACGCGGCTTAAGAGACACGGCGCCGAAATTCCCCGTTCCGAAAAACAGCCCCGGTTCCGGAAATCCTAATGCCTATGCTAATTGAAGTAGTAAACTATTTTTGTTTTTTGTTGTAATTTTAAAGATTGGAAAATTTGAGGTTATTACTCTTATTAGAAAATATATTTTTTTTCTTTTTAAAAATCCAATATTTAATATAATTTTTTTGTTATGAAAAAGTAAATAAAAAAAGTTAATTTGTAATGCTAAAGATTGGAATGATAGGTTTTTTAGAAAATGTTTTAATTTTTTTAATATAATCCAATATTTAATATATATTTTTTTGTTATAAAAAAAGTTAAAAATGTAAAAAGTTCACCGCAGTTGGTAGGATTCGAACCTACGCTCCCAGAGGGAATCTGATTTCTAGTCAGACGCCTTAACCGCTCGGCCACAACTGCTGAATGAAAGAATTTTCTTATATGTTGTACAATTCCTAAAGTGCTAGCTCAGAAGTAATGGTAATATTAAAAATACACAATTTTTGTTATTGTGTAATTTTTTAAAATTTATTTCTCAGATTTATCTAGCACTAATTTTAGCTAATCAAAATAATGCGTAATGTATTAGAAAATAATCTAGAATAATCTATATTAGATAAAATCAATAATCAGCTTTCCAACCCTTTTTTCCAAATGATGACCCCTTATCTTTTTATTCAAAGCCTTTAATAAATTTTATAGTAGGGACTTATTTGAATGGCGTATTAATACAGTTTCCTGTTTTTAAATTTGCTGAACTATTTTATTTAATTAAATGCTGTGTCGACTTAAATCTTGAAAATTTAACTCACTTACCTACTTGAATTGGGAGTGGATAGGTAGGTAAATAAGCATTAATAATTATTATAATAATAATTGAATTCTCCAGAAGTCAGTTATCCTCGCAACATGCAACATAGTGATAAAAATATTAAACTTGAGAAGATAGCTAAAAAAACTCTTGTTTTGCCCCTTGGGGCCGATAACAAATTTATTTACCGTAACGTGGAAAAAAAATTGAATTGTAATAAATTTCTTCATTGGCGGGAAAAATACAAATTGACTTATGCATGCTTAATATAAAGGATATAAATATGACTTACAAATGCTTATTGTAATATACAGGGTCGTGTTTCAAAAAACATGTGCCATCTCTCGAGATTCCTGACGTAAATATAAAATTAATTTTTCATATCAACATAGGTTCGATTCTGCTTTGATCGTAGATATAGTGTGTTATTAAAGCCTTAATAATTTTTCGAATGAGTTTAAGTACTTTTAGCCGTTTCGAATGAAATTTTGTGGGTAAAAGTTACTATAAATGCGACATATTCACCAGGGACGTGCATATTGATTCTCACTGGAATATTTAAAAAAACATGTACGCCACTGACTTCCTTTTCTCTTGTTAGCGAAATCAGAGTACCTAAACCGACGAGTAGCGACAGTCCCGTTTTCAATTTTCTTTGCGGCTGCGCGAAATAAGTAGGTTATCTGTCATACGAAGAAGCGAAGTTGCCACTGTTGCAATTTATCAAATATCTCTATATACTTTATTTCAAGTATACCTTAGGCAACGAATCGTTTTTTTAATTATTTATTAGCAGTAAGATATTTTATACATTCAAATTTAGAAATAAGGATAAAACAAAACAAAAAAGATATGTATAAAACTTTATAATTAATTCCACAATGCAAATTGTGAGCAGTGTATACCATGTTTATAGGACCACTTCATAAGTTGAGCAGTTAAATACGTAGTCTATCTCTCAAACACGTCAAAAGAGAGAGAAAGAAAATTTGGTCCCGCCACATCAAAAGAGCCGACGGTTTCTGTCGCTACTCGGCGATCTACGTACTCTGGCGAAATAGTGTAAGCAGTTTAATGCCGATTAAAAATTGTCTCTTGATATTTCGGCCTCCTTGATGAAATAAACGCAATTTTATTAATTTGCTTTGATCCAATAAGTCTAATAGCAACCTTTTTTTTAATAATTTATTTATAAAAATTATGGGTTAACTTGCTAATGTTTTAAATAAGTACTCACTGATTTCTCATCAAAAAATATGAAAAAAGTTCCTATAAATATGGTTATGGAAATGCATAGTTTTAGACTTACAGGAAATGCATAGTTTTAGACTTTTTAAAATTAGATTTTTTGTAATTATCTTAAAAACCATTTTTTTATTTGAAATTGCTGTAGGTTGGGCTAATAGTAATAATATTTAATAATAAATTATGTAAAATATATAATTTAGTAATTTTATCTTAATTTTATTAATTTTAATTAATAAAATTGCGTTTATCTCATCAAGGAGGCCGAATTCGACAAAATATCAAGAAATAACTTTTAATTGGCGTTAAACGGCCTACACAATTTTGATCTCAAAAGTAAGAAGTCAATAGCGCACATATCTTTTTTTTGAAAAATAGTTCAGTGTTAACCCATATGCACGTCTCTGGTAAATTTATCGACACTTTTTTAGCATTAAAATATGTAGAACTTAGTTATAGTAACTTTAACCCTCAAAATTTCATTCGAATCACTAAAAGTACTTGGAAGAAAATTATAATAAATCGAAAGATTATTAAGACTTTAACACCCTGTAGATACGAAACAAAGCAGAATCGGACCTATGTTGATATGAAAAATAAATCTTATTTTTACGTGAGAAATCTCCCCACGAGAGATGGCACATGTTTTTTTGAAACACTCTGTATGTATATAGATTTTAGTACTTATAATTTTATTATGGTATATTTTATCTACAGAGAGTATCTTTAAAATTTTGTTTCGCCCAATGATCAGTCTAATTCGTCTATTTTTTTCATGAATTAAAATTTCTGAGAAACTTGAAAGGAAAAATGGAAAAAAGGAGGTTTATAATATTTGTTTAAAATTGTTGGGCATGCTGTTAAAAAGTATTATTAATATTAGACAATTAATAACATAATAACCCATTAAAAAATCTACTACCGAAGCAGACATTTTTTTAAACAGTAAAAAAATTGCAGGTTACTTACTGATGCAGATAGCGGTCACTCGACTGCCCATTCCCCAACTGGTACCGATGGACCTAAATCTATGTCTCCTTTGATGGGAAGCAGCCCTTCCATGGTCGGAGGGATGATGTATAACGATGTAGAGATGTTAGAAGCAAGCCACAGGTATTTTTTAAATAATAAGATATATTTCCTGTAACGAATATTTTAAATTATTGGCGCAATGTTAATTATTAAATTCACAGTGGCGGATCTAGGCGTGGGCAAGGTCGACACCTGCCCACGACGCAGGGCACGAGGAGCGCCGCAGAGGCGCCAAAATGTGTCCGAAATCAATAGGTAAAAACTCTAATCACGCACCGCATGCACACATTCTCCTCTTAGTATTTTGGGAATTTTTTTTAAAGGAACATCGAAAATGTAAACACTGCTTAGCAGATGCCAATGCTTTCGATCGCGGAGGCATCTAAATTGCTGAATTCATTACAGAGTTTCTTAGCTGAGTTTAGAGACAAAGTCGACGATTGCTTTAAAGAAGCAAAGATCCTTGCAGAGGCAAGCAATATTCAGCCTGTTCTCCCAGAAAAACGGACAAGAAAAGTAAAAAGATTTTTCGATGAAAACGCTGATGAGCAAATTGGTACATTAACCCAAGAACAACAACTCAAGATTCACATTTTCAAATCATTGGATAAAATAAATGAGCAATTTTCCTGGAGGTTTAATGCTATGGAACGTGTTGTCGAAGATTTTTATTTCCTTTCTGGAAAGTCACCGACATCATTACCACTAGAAGAAATAAAAAAAAACATGCTGCAGATCTAGCAATTAAATATGCTAACGACTTGGATGCAACAGAGCTATATCTTGAACTGGAAAATTTCAAGAATCACGCAAGCTTGTTGCTTCCAAACTTGGAGGCAGCTACCTGTTTAGATATTCTTAAAATGCTAGAAAAATATTGCTTAATTCCGAATTATCCGAACTTGCAGACCGAACTGCGAATATTTGTGACCATGCCAATCACTTCTATGTCATGTGAGCGATCGTTTAGTAAACTTAAATTAATTAAAGATTTTAGGCCTTCAACTATGACATAGGAGAGACTGACTGACTTGGGAATATTAAGCATTGTGATTAAGCATAGAGTATGAAATAGCCGAAAAAAGGGGCGGGGGGTAAGGTTAGGTTAGAGGGGGGTTAACACATTTTTTGAATTGTGGGGGCGCCAAATTTTGTCTTTGCCCACGACGTATTTTTCCCTAGATCCGCCACTGAAATTTATAATATACTGCTGCTGAAACTTTATAAAGTATATTTATAAAAATATATCTCGTGTTTCATTGAATATGACATGGCCAGATATAGTTTTACATCGCTTGACTTTTACAGTCATAGGCTACTGGTTAAAAACTAGAAAAATATACGGTTTAAAACTAAATCTTAAATAACTTAAACATTAAAAATGAATTGAAAAATATTTTCACTAGTGAAATAAAAAAGTGGGTTTCCATTTGAAAAATGACAGCTACGGCCAATATTATATGACATTCAAACCAAAGAATATACCTAGCTAGAAAAAGAATGGACTCTGCCATACTGAAAAATGGTCCTACAGAAGTGGCGCCATCTATTGAGTAGGGCTTGTCTTAAATGGATCGAAGCGCGGGCTTTTTAAATGAGCGTTTTTGTTGAATTTTACTCTAAAATAATTAAATTTGATTATTAAATCTTATTTTTTACACAAATTCAACAATACTAATAAAAAGTATTGTTGTGATGTGTAAAAAATAAGATTTAACAGTATAATTTATAGGGGAAAGTGGGGTAAGTTGACGAAGCGGGTAAAATGACGAATGTCGATAAAATCATTATAACGTAATATATTTCCATTCGCATAGGAAGCGCCATCTCGTTAGTGTACCCTGAAGTAACTCAAATAGTTTGGAAAGGCTTGGACGGCGTGCTTTTCTGTTAGAACTGATTTGTGGATTTCACGTGTGTCGGTAAACATTTTCGTACAGTGTTTTTAAGGTTTACAGTGTTCCAAATTAAGGTAAGACCGAAATAAAATATTACATATAAAAAACTAGGTATATATGCATGTTATGCTAAAAAAGTTTGCATAAACAAAGCTATTTATTAAATATTTTCTCATGGAACATTAAACATAACCTCTAGGGGCAAGATGGCCCGGGTAAGTTGACGAGTTCGTCATCTTACCCTACTGATCGTCATTTTACCCCATTATTTAATTTATTACAGCTCCGAATGGAGAAATAAGTATTTCGTAAAATGTTGTGCTCTTTTTAGATGCCTCGAATATACCAAAGAAAGACAAACAGACGTGCGTGGGATGAAAATGCTATGATTGCGGCTGTGCATGAAGTATTAGATGGAAAATCTTGCAATGGTGTGGCTTCTCTATACGACATCCCAGAACCGACTCTGCGCAGGTATGTGAAAAAAATGAAAAATGATCTGCAACTACCGATGCATGGAGGGAGATATTCTACTACGTTTAATTTAAACCAGAGCCAGGCACTAGTAAATTATATTACCTTGATCGACAAAAGAGGTTTTGGATTGACAGCCATACAACTAAGGAAGTTAGCCTATGACTTTGCTGAAGAACAAGGAATAACACATCGTTTTAACAAGGAACGGAAACTAGCAGGAAAGGATTGGTTATCTAATTTCATTAAAGATAATAAAATAAGTCTAAGAACTGCTGAGGCCACTTCAGTTGCGCGTTTAATGTCTTTTAACAAGCCCGCTGTCCAAAAGTTCTTTGACATTCTACGCGAAGTTCTGGAAAAATACAAATTTAGTCCCGACAGAATCTACAACGCCGACGAAAGTGGCCTGTCGTCTGTTCCGTGCAAACTACCAAAAGTTTTAAGTCCAGTCGGGACTAGAAGAGTAGCTAAAGCTGTTTCGGCCGAACGAGGCAAAAATACTACTGTTGTGTGCGCAGTTAATGCAGTTGGCAACTATGTCCCTCCTTATTTTATATTTGGTCGCATTCGTATGAAGGAAGAATTACTCTATGGTGCTCCAATAGGTTCGGATGGCACTGCACAAAAAAATGGATGGATGTGCACTGAAATTTTTGTTAAATACTTACACCATTTTTCCAAATATGCTCATTCATCGCCGGAAACCCCTGTTCTTCTTATGGTAGACAATCACTCTTCTCACATATCTTTACCTGCAATCAACTATTGTAGGCAAAAGGGGATAATCATGATTGGATTCCCACCACATACAACACACAGGTTACAACCGCTTGATGTATCATTTTTTGGCCCGCTGAAGTCGTTTTTTAGCCGAGAATGCGACAATCATCTCGTAAATCACCCTGGGCAGCTAATTGGGGACAAACATATTTGTCAGCTATTTGGAAAAGCATATAATAGGGCCGCAACGGTATCAAATGCTGTGAACGGCTTTAAAAAATGCGGTCTTCAACCTTTTGACCCTTTTGTATTTGGCGACGACGATTTTGTAATGGCTGAAACAACTGAAAGGGCACCGCATCAACCACCCGTTTATCAAAATTCCGATAATGAATCTGATGATGATATTCCTCTAATAAATTTTGTGAAACCCCAAAAGGATATTGAGAAAAAATCAACAATAAATATGACTTCAAATTCCCCAACAAGTGAAATAGTTTCAAGCACACCTCGTCATTTCGAAAAAGTAACGCAAGTAAAAAGAAATCTGTTTAGGGCGGAAAATAAAGAAAATGAGCCAATTCCTGGAACGAGTCAAACCGATAATAAACTGAATGAAGTGACACTTCAAAAAATTCGACCTTTTCCAAAAGCCGAAAGGGGGGGAAATTGTAAAAGGAAGAAGTTGACAGCTAGTGTAATAACCAGTACACCCATTAAAGAACAGTTGGAGGATAAGGAATATCAGATAAGACAAAGAGAAGAAAAGAAACGAAAAATTATAGAAAAAAAAAGTCAAAAAATCCCTAAGAAGCTAAAAGAATCAACAATTGCTTCCAAAAAAGAGAAAGTAATGCCACTGACCCCTCCCAAGAAAACTAAAGAATCTATTTTCTGCCCTGGTTGTGATGAATTATACCAGGATCCCCCAGTGGAGGACTGGATTAGTTGCAGCAATTGCCAGTATTGGTGGCACGAAGCTTGCAGCAACTACAATGGTGTAAGTGAGTTCGTTTGTGATTACTGCTAAATCCATTATGTTAGTCAACTTACCCCATTATGTTAGTCATCTTACCCTTTAGTGGGGGTAAGATGACAGATTTGCAGTATATTAAAAAACATGTTTTGTTCAGTTTAAAATAATTTGTTTATTTTTAAATATATGTGTTTTTTATAGTAAAATGTGTGTGTTAATCAAAATAGAATACAACACTCTCGTAACTTGAAAATTTAAATAAAAAAATCTATATTTTGCTTAACATCGCCAACTTACCCCACTTTCCCCTACAATTATTAAATAAAATTAAAGCCAAACATGTGAAATATCATTTATTATTTAAAGTTCTTATTTATAAGTCAAATATTTAAGCATCCTTTATTATAATAAAACAAGACCAACGTAATACGCCCAAAGTTTTGTAAATGGAGTAAATATAAATAGGTACTTAAATGATGGCAAATATAAAAGACTTACATTATATTTTTAGGGTCACAAACAAAAGGAATTGTCTAATTAAAACACATATAACAAATTATAGTTTGAAAAACGTTTTGATAATCATTTATTTGATAATATCAGAGTACGTAGATCGCCGAGTAGCGACAGAAACCGTCGGCTCTTTTGATGTGGTGGGACCAAATTTTCTTTCTCTCTCTTTTGACGTGTTTGACAGATAGACTATGTATTTAACTGCTCAACTTATGAAGTGGTCCTATAAACATGGTATACACTTCTCACAGTTTGAAGTGGAATTAATTATAAAGTTTTATACATATCTTTTTTGTTTTGTTTTATCCTTATTTCTAAATTTGAATGTATAAAATATCTTACTGCTAATAAATAATTATAAAAACGATTCGTTGCCTGAGGTATACTTGAAATAAAGTATATAGAGATATTTGATAAATGGCAACAGTGGCAACTTCGCTTCTTCGTATGACAGATAACCTACTTATTTCGCGCAGCCGCAAAGAAAACTGAAAACGGGACTGTCGCTACTCGTCGGTTTAGGTACTCTGATAATATTATGATTGGCGCTATGACAACGACAATATTTTTTGAGAATTTGACAATAATATGACAATGGCCGTTGGAAACTATGGAAACTACAAAAAAAAATTCTGATTTAACGCCATCTGGCAATAACTAGTAGCAACTTCTTAACCTAAAAATTAATTGCACTACCACCTAGTGGCTAGGGCTGGAACTATTTTATTTGAGATTTCCGTGGAAACGGTGGAACCGCTTTTGCTATTTCACTTTCCCGCCCCTGATTCAAACTATTTAATTTTTGAAATAGATATCCACATGTCTTCTCTTGATGTGATAGTGACTGTAGTAATCACAAAATTTGACGTTTAGGCTATACACATTTTTTTGACAGGCAGTTTATTTCCTCCAAAATTTTTTTTTAACCGTTAATGTTAGATGTAGAGTGTTTGGTATCAAAATTCATAAAATTTTACAGATAATTTAAGTATGTAATAAAAAATGAAGGTACCCATTTAAAATAAGAAAGTTGCTATTAACTTCCGGCATTCCCGGAAGTGCCGCCATATTGAAAATATTTTTAATTGTTAGATCTCATTGTGAAACAATGATGTGCAAAAAATCTCGGATCCAGAGCTTAATAGTTCTCTAGAAACTTCTAATGCACGCTCAGCCTGGGACACCCTGTATATGTAAATTAACTTTGAACCAAAACTAACTGTACATTTTAATCAAGAATCTCATTCGATCTATTTTAAAGTTAGCTTTTGCGATTAATTTTTTAGGGGGGAAATAAAATAAATTTCAAATATAAAAGAAAGAAATTTATGAACTTAGCTAGATTTTTTCAAATAAGTCCAAAATAACTGAGTTATTCTACTTTGAAAATTAAAAAATATATATATTTTTTTTGTTCAAATTTTGAAGCACAATACAAATACGCAGTACTGTACGTAGTATGCCTATTTTTTAAGTTATAATTATTAGATTATGTGCTTTTTTGATAATTTTATCATATTTTATTTTAGGGCTTTACATAAATTTTTACCACGACACGAAGACGAAATAGAACTTGAAATAGGCGATCCTGTATATGTTCAGAAAGAAGCAGATGATTTGTGGTGTGAAGGTAAATAATATAGTTACAATATTATTTTGTTAATATTTGTTATACAGGGTGAGTATTAAATAAGTGCATGTTTGGAAAGCTGGTAGATCTCGATAAAAGAAATAAGTTCAAAAAACGAAACACGTGTCACTGATTAATTTAATATATAAGTTGAGACCGAGACTTTGAGTCTTTTTATACTTCTTTTTAAATAAGTTCAAAATAACCGAGTTATTTTACTTTGAAAATTTCCAAAAAAAATATTTTTTGCTTAAATTTTGAGAACCAATGGATCTTTTCTGGATTTTCTTTCTTGTATATTTAATCTAAGTACTAGCTATGTTGCCATATTATCAAGAATTTATATTTTTTTAACTAAAAACCAAAAAAAAATTCTAAAAAATTCCAAATTTTCAAAAAAAAAAATTGCGAAAAAAAAAACATGTTTCTGGGGTCAAAATATACTACCCCTAAAAACATTTGCATTTATTTATTTAAGACTCGCCCTAAATAATATACCGTATGATCGAAGAAAACCGAATGGTGCCCAGTTGGTTGGGAAATGACGATCAATGACATTTCCCATATAAAATGACAGAGATCTTCAGTTCATAGCCATCGCTGACTACTTACTTCTTAACGGGTTAACTGATGGCTCTCAAAAGGTAGATATTGGAATATAGTTTGACGTATATCTTCTTCCATTCGAAAGGTTGAGTTTACGATTTAGTCTAATAAAAGGTTTATAACTTTGGTATAAGTTGAGTAGAAGGTAGAAGTCTATAATTATTTGCTTCTTATAATAGTAAAATATATATCTTTTCCTATGAAGGTGTCAATTTGAGAACCGGCAGAATGGGCATCTTTCCTTCGGCATATACGGTCGATTGCGACTATAGCGAATGGGATTCTTCCACTGAACATGGTAGAAGAGAAAGATATATCTTAGGTAAATAAATATTTACATTACCCTTTTAAAAATAACTAAAATTATGTGTCTTTATTTAAAAATTTTAGGTTATATAGGCTCAGTAGAGACCCTAGCCCATAAGGGCACTTCCGTAGTGTGCCAAGCAGTCAGACGAGTCATCGGTAATACAGGGGCGGAACCAGAAGTCCAACCCTGTACTTTAGAGGTTTCCGATCAGGGCCTGAGGATGGTAGATAGGAGAAAACGAAACGTAAATGTGCTTTAATTAGATTCTTCCTAATTCATATCAAATATTTCGTGTTACAGCAAAGCGAACCCTGCATAGATTACTTCTATTCCTTGAAAAATGTCAGTTTTTGTGCTTTCCACCCTAGAGACCACCGATATTTGGGCTTTATCACCAAGCATCCGACACTTCAAAGGTTCGCCTGTCACGTATTTAAGGGCCAGGATTCTACAAGACCAGTGGCGGAAGCTGTTGGGTAAATATCAATATACAGGGTCCGACAATAGTGCGTCGGGCATCTGTAGCTCCTAGAATAAAAAAATTGGGAATTTTGTTTAATAATAATACCTAAAGTAAAGGAAAAAAGGTAAAACGTTCAGGAAAATATTTTAACTTCTATAGGATGGCTTTAAAAAGTGTGAGTGAATCGAGATGATTTTTTTAAAGTACACGTAACACTCTGTATATTATTTCATGTTTGGCTTCCTTTCTGATCACTTTACATAATCCTAGGATATGAGTAAATATATTTTAGTAGTTTCAGAGATATTGATAAATAAATAAAAAAATAAATATATACGTATACAGGATGATTCCTGTAAGTCGGTCATGCTTTCGAGGAATGATAGAGGATGTCGAAATATTAATTTTGATATAGAACACGGTCGGAAATGCCTCTTACGCAAGATACAGGGTGTTAAAGTTTTTGAAAAGTTAAAGATATTCTTTAATAGTTTTTTACAGTTGAAGATATCGTTATAATATTTCATTATAGGAATCTAGCTAACAGAGACACTTTAAATGTAAAAACAGAGTACCTAAACCGACGAGTAGCGACAGTCCCGTTTTCAATTTTCTTTGCGGCTGCGCGAAATAAGTAGGTTATCTGTCATACGAAGAAGCGAAGTTGCCACTGTTGCAATTTATCAAATATCTCTATATACTTTATTTCAAGTATACCTCAGGCAACGAATCGTTTTTTTTAATTATTTATTAGCAGTAAGATATTTTATACATTCAAATTTGGAAATAAGGATAAAACAAAACAAAAAAGATTTGTATAAAACTTTATAATTAATTCCACTTCAAATTGTGAGCAGTGTATACCATGTTTATAGGACCACTTCATATGTTGAGCAGTTAAATACGTAGTCTATCTGTCAAACACGTCAAAAGAGAGAGAAAGAAAAGTTGGTCCCACCACATCAAAAGAGCCTACGGTTTCTGTCGCTACTCGGCGATCTACGTACTCTGGTAAAAAGAAGAGGTTTTAGTTTCAACCAGTGGCGTAGATGTGATACGCATCGGGTCATTTTTTCAAAAAAAATAGTACGCCGCTGATAAAAATAAAAATTTCGGAGTTTTTTTATTTACTCGGTTTATTTCCGAGAAAAAATGTCGCTTGTAACTTTCTCCTATCTAATACCATTTTGTCACAATTTAAAAATATATTTTTTTAATGAGAATCTTAAATACAGCGAATTATTATAACTAGAGGGCAGAAACACATGTGCATCGTTAGCTCCCTTCATCTTCGGTAACTTAATAAATTTTTTAAAAATTATAAATTTAAACTAGAATTTTTTTACTGTTAATAATGAAATTCGTAGTTTTAAGGTAGTTAAAAAAATATTTATTTTTAAATTGTGACAAAATGGTGTTAGATAGAAGAAAGTTGCAAGAGACATTTTTTCTTGGAAATAAACGGAGTAAATAAAAAAACTCTACAATGACGTACTATTTTTTTTTTAATATTACCCGATGCGTATCACAGCTACTACGCCACTGGTTGAAACTAAAACCTCTTCTTTTTACATTTAAAGTGTCTCTGTTAGGCAGACTCCTATAATAAAATTTTATAACGATACCTTCAACTGTTAAAAACTATTAAAGAATATCTTTAATTTTTCAAAACTTTAACACCCTGTATTTTGCGTAAGAGGCATTTCCGACCCGTAGTGTGCTATATCAAAATTAATATTTTGACGTTCCCTATCATAGCATGATCGATACTAGCATATCAACGTTCCCTATCGAAAGCATGACCGACTTATAATAATCACCCTGTATATTTTTCAGCCTTTCTTAAAAAAATATTAAAAATACAAGAACTGTCCGGAAATCAAAACTATATTAGGTAATTACTTTAGATATCGGAATCTTAAAACATACAGGGTGTTCAAAATTATATGCCAAACTTTCAAAAATATAAAATAAACTTCATTTTTTTAAATGGAAGACCCTGTATATTTTTTAAAAATGTCTATACCTATGTGGCGGATTCATCTCTCCAAAAAAATCCTTTATGGGTATTTCGCCACTGCACTGCAAGAAAATCTACAAAATAAAATAGTTTTTCTTGCAGTGCAGTGGCGAAATACCCATAAAGGATTTTTTTGGAGAGATGAACATTTTTTGTATTTAAAGTATTTCAAAATTTTTAATGGTTTCGCAGATATTCACGGTTTTATATTTCATATGCATATTCCACAGTAAATTTTTATCAAAGCCCGACCCAGTGATTTTTCTCTCGTATTTTACCATTGAAAGCCATATGAAATAATATCGCGAGTATCTGAGAAACGGTTAAAAATTTTGTAATACTCTAAATACAAAATATGTTAATTTTTGAATTCTCTTAGAATTCAATATAAAAATAATCTTTCTATTTAAAATAACGAAGAAAAATTATTTTATATTTTAGAAAGTTTGGTTAGGTTTAGGTAGAATTTCGACCACCCTGTATGATTTAAGATTACGATATTTATAGCAAAATAAATACAGACCATCTATAGTAACTACCTAATATAGTTTTGACTTCAGGACAGTCCTTAAAATTAAGATTCCTGTCATTTTATATGTAAAATTATATGTGAAATATCATCAATAGTCATTTTTAAACCAACTGTACGTTGTTTTTTTTATCATACGGTATTTAAAATGTAGTAGACAATAATTTCCTTAAAAACCACAACCTTAGTGTAAAAATATATGTACCTGGGTCAACTTAATTATACAGGGTGTCAAAGAAATAGTGTATCTAACTTTGGTGGGTGATACTAGAGATAAAAATAAAATAAAAAGTCCCTATGAACATATATGCACTAAAATGCTTCCCGAAGAAGTTACAGCCTTCGAAAGGTTAAATAAAAATAATATAATTTGTTTATTTTTAAGAACATTGGTAAACCGTTTTTTTTTAAATTTGGTACTATAACAGACATTTTAATGCTAAAGCGAACGGCATTGTGAAAAATTCTGTAACAGCCCTGAAAAAGTACTTTCCATTAGGGTAGAGAGTATTACTGGTGGTACTTCTTTTATCCTTATAGATACAGTAATTTCAACAAATGATATAAAAAGCTAGAACTTTTTTACGTAAAACAAGCGCTCTTCGTTTACTTCGAAAAGGTGAACGGTTTTACGATGCATCTATTTTAGTACTAATGAAATGATAAAATGCATAGAAATTTTAAATAAATGAATCTCCTAGTTTCGTTAATGCTAAAATTGATACATCGGAACCTTTAAATGCAAATATCTTGAAAATCGTTCTACAGTATCACCCTTCGAAGTTAGATACCCTATTTTTTGGACACCCTGTATATCTACGAAAATATGTTTATTTAGTTTTGCGCTACTATTGCAAGTGAATTTAAAAAAAAAAGTGCAGTAAAAACCTCCAACGAGAAATGTGTTTCCAAACTTATATGAAAGATATACTCTATGTGTTTGATATTCAAATTCTAAAGAAGCGAACAATATTTACTGATTTTATTTCTGTTTTACAGAAGAGCTTTTCAAAGATTTTACCAGAAATTCATAGAGACTGCTTACCCCGTAGAAGATATCTACATAGAATAAATATCTCTAAGATAGAATAGTATGAATAAGATAAGAAGATGTAAGAGAAAGCAGCCAAATGCATGGAAAAATCTAATTTATAATAAATATTCTCTTTTGATCGGATTTCTTTAAAGAAAAAAAGAAAAATATAGTCAGAATATTTTGATACAGTTTTTATTTTTGGGTACACATATATTTGGCTATTTTCTCTCAATGATAAATAAGGCCTTAAGTAATAAGAAGAAGATATAAGACGTTGATCTATAGTTTGTCTAGCGAGAGAATAATTATCTTTTCGACAAACGGAATCCAAAATATTATACAGATCTTACGAGAGCTAGCAACGTCGGAAAAACAAGTATTTTAAGACGTCTGGCTCTTTGATATATCTTTTACTATGCTCTCTAGAACAGCATGCGGCCCGTCTGGCTACTTGTAAACGTTGCGTTCCCAACTGCGCATTGAAAGAAGATCCTATATTTTTAGTAGTCCTTTAAATACTAGTATTGAATATAAATCGAACATGTCTCGATAGCACAGTGCGTAGAGTTTCTGACCACGAACCGATGATTCAGAGTTCGAATCCAGGTCAGGGCAAAGACTTTTTTATTTTATTTTCGTTTATATTCTAATAGCAAAGTATTAAATATTTGTTTTTTTTTAATTACCAGAATTATTTAATACTTTACTATAAGAATATAAACGAAAAAAAAAATAAAAAAGTTTTTGACCTGACCCGGATTTGAACTCTGAATCATCGGTTCGTGGTCGGTAACTCTACGCACTGCGCTATGGAGACATGTTCGATTTAGATTCAGTACTAGAATTTATAGGACTAAATTAATAAAAAATATAGCATCTTCTTCTGATGCGCAGTAGTGAACGCAACGGGTATCGGCAGCCAGACGGGCCGCATGCTGTTCCAGAGAGCATAGGAAAAGATATATCAAAGAGCCAGACGTCTTAAAATACTTTCTCGAAAACGTTGCTATCTCTTAGACTAAGATAATAATCCGTTTTTGAATTAATCTGACAGAAAATTACTGATCCCTAACTGTAACTGTTATATTCTTTTGCAGGACAGACTATAATTGGATTTTCAATCCACACTTCTTTTAATAAGATAATACTAAAAGAAATGTATTTTGTAAATAATGGTGTCTAGGCGGTTTAGTACTCTGTAATTTCGGTAATTTCGATCATCTCATAGTATAATTTCGTCGATTTTGTACATGTCATCATATTCATCATGGTTCATCATATCATTTTAGCTTCGAATAGCTATGTGTTTATAAGTATTTACTGTTAAGTGTTTTATGTATGATAGATAATTTATGTTTTGTTTCTTTTATTTAATATTAGATCTATAAATTGAGCAGATCATTTACACGCTCATTTTATAAATAAAGTCTAACATGCAAGAGAACAATAAAATTAAACGATTTCAGCAGATGATATTTAAAAAATGACAGTAATGACAGAAAAGACAATTTACTGTTCAACATTCAACTGTCACTCTCATATATTTTCTCGTTTCACAAACTTTGTATTGCTAATGTGTGACGTAGCGGGTGCGTCTCAAAAGTGGCTCACCCCCTATAACTTTTTTATTTTTTCAGATAAAAAACGAGATTTGGTATGTTAGTATATAACATAAATTAGGATTGATTGACGTATTCAATTGTTTTTAGTCACTTCCGGTTTTACCGGAAAAATTATTTTTCAACAAATTCATGTATTCGTGTTCAAATAATTGATATACAATTTTCCCCAAACGCAAAGTTTTTTATGTAAATCATTTAAAAGGACAGATCTAATCCTGGTATAATTTAAATAATTATTTTAGTTGTCATATTTCAAAACCGGTCAAGAAATTATTTTTATAACTTGACAAACTGGCGAAGGCGATTTTGTGTTTATTAACTTTTAATTTTGAAGCCAAAATTAGACGAAAAATTGATAATATTGAGCGTGTAAATGTAATGTTTCTTTTTTTCTTATAATGATGACTTCCTAGAGAAAAATAACAATATAAAAAATAAATATATCTCTATAATAAATGAGATAGAGCTAGTGCAATATTTAAAGGGCTGAGATATGATTACAGAAAAACTCTTAGAAGAAAGTTTGTATATTTTTGATATCGCTATCAAGCAAATTTAAATTTATTTACTTGAAAATGTTAAATTTATGTTACTTTTTTATTTAGTATAGTAGTTTTTCTACGCCTTTTTTAAAACAATGAATGTTTTTACTGTTCATCCTTTTTTGTACTGACATAATTTTAATTTATATTCCTTATGTTAATGCGAAATAAATCATACAAAATATTTTAGTGTATTTATATATTTAATTTCTATATATTATATACGATGATCTATATACTATAATGAAACTTTTTGTTTTGAAATCTTTCAAAGAAAATTCATCCAGGCCGACCACAGATTATGTAAATTCTATCACCCTGAACGGAGTAGTTCATATGTTCCAAATTTCCATAAGAAGACCAATGCCGTCTCTAATAGAACAGCCTTGGGGCGGGATTTATGACGCCACGCTAGTTAGATACTACAAATTAATAAATATGTTGTAGAATACATGGAAAACATAATTATTCCTCAAATTTTTGGTTTGTATTTTAGAAATGATATAGTTTAAATGAAATATACATAATATACAGTTAATAACTACAACATATATACCTATTTATAGTAATAAATACTTTGGCAAATAAACTATGAACCATACAAATGCAGCAAATGTTTTACAATATACAAATAATGTATAGGTACATAAGATATTGGGTAAAATGTAAATATATTTTAAATTTTGGGGTTTGAAAATCGATCTAATTTAACAAAAACATTCAATATCTACTAATAGTGATGTATTATTATTTGCATTCACAAAATTTATATGTATATTTTGCAAGTATCAATGTTCGAAAAATTATATTTACAAATAATACAATATCATCTAAAAAGGCGTCAGCGATGGCTATGAAATGAAGATCGCTGGCATTTTATATGTAAAATTATTCTAAAATTTTTGATTTTCTTGGGATTTTTATGTTCGGGAAAAACGCTGATTTAAGTTTTCATTTGGCTTTTCATTATTTTTATTTGGTTTAAAAAAAAACGTTTCGGCTAACTATAGCCTTCATCAGTGTTGTGTCATATGAAAAAAAGTGTCGAATATAATCCAAAAAATTACATATAAAATATTCACACCACATAATGTTTACTGCAATTAACAAACTAATATAAACTTATCAAAAGATGACCACATATTTTTTAAAATTATTATTCTTAACACTAAAACTATCTACATCTATGGAGTACGCAGTAAACATTATGTGGTGCGTGTGAATATTTTATATGTAATTTTTTGGATTATATTCGACACTATTTTTTTCATATAATATATATTTTTTTCATATGACACAACACTGATGAAGGCTATAATGTTAGCCAAAACGTTTTTTTAAACCAAATAAAAATAATGAAAAACCAAATGAAACCCTAATGAGCGTTTTTCCCGAACCTAATTCCCAAGAAAATCAAAAAATTTAGAATATTTAGAAACAAGGTTCAAGAATATCAAATTTTCCAAGATTGTAAAATTCTAGTTAATTATTTTATGTCTACAATTATTTAAGGAATGTCATCGATGTTCATTTCCAAGCCAACTAGACGCCGATTTTTTTCGATTATACGGTATAATTCTTACATAAAATGTAAATAACATTAGACCAATTAAAACAAAGAAATATGAATTTCTTAGTATTTTTAGTAACACCTTTATTCTTAAAACTTAATTTTGTATTGCAAATATACCAATTTTATTGTTATTTTATTCATATTGTATTCAGCCATCACTTAAATATTTGATATTAATTTGATATTATAAATAATCAACACTCTTCAGTAAAAATTACTGAACAAATATATGTTATGCTTTACATACATTATATCAAACAAAAACACATTCTTCTTTTAAACTTTATCATTCTTGTCTTTACAAAAATCTTTTTTAATTTTGAACTCAAAATAATAATCTTTTTCATGATCTTTAATACACATATTCTTTATTTTTCCCTAGATCATAATACCTACTTACGTGTTTGAATCTATCGAAGCTGAACCAGCAACACTTGGAGTGGAGATTCCACAATATGAATAAAATAAACATAATTGTCCAGTTTTCATTAATACCATCATGGGAGAATATTATTCTTAAATTTATTAAAGATATTTTCAATAAAATTCTCTTGATTTATAACTCGTACCCACTTTTCTTGCTCTTCCGGACACTTTAGGCTGCCTAGTATAATAACTATCCTTAGTAACTATCCTTTCCACCAGGAACACAACAAAGATGAGGCATAGCACCAATAACACACTCCACTTAAGCTTGAATCTTACGTGCTTGAATCTATCGAAGCTGAACCAACAACACTTGGAGTGGAGATTCCACAATATGAATAAAATAAACATAATTGTCCAGTTTTCTTTAATACCATCCTGGGAGAATATTATTTTTAAATTTATTAAAGATATTTTCAATAGAATTGTCTTGATTTATAACTCGTACCCACTTTTCTTGTTCTTCCGGATACTTTAAGCTGGCTAGTATAACTATCCTTTCCACCAGGAACACAACAAAGATAGGCATAGCACCAAAACACACTCCACTTAAGCTTTATTGATGAATTGTTAGAGTCTTAAAAAAACACACAAAAATCACGATAAATAAAAAATTTATGGGCACTTTTAGGTTAAAGCACGTAACAAAACGTGTAATATTTCGTGTTTTTTTATGAGAAACAGAGTGACCCATCATAGTGACCATATATCTGGTAGTACTTTATGTCACTTAAACACCAAAATAATTAGTTTTTTGCACTACAATAACAAATAATACCAAAAATCAACCGACAAAATATGAATACAGAATCTAACCCAATATCTAAGTATGTACAGCTGATGAAGTAAACAAAAGTCCGCCCGAGGCTGATCTTTTATAGAGGGCATTGAGAAGACATACATCTTATGTCACTGTCAAAATTGACAGTTTCTTAATTTGCTAACTTCATATTTATTTTTAAATGTAAAAAATTTTAATCCAGAATTGAAAATTAACAATTAAAAATGGATAAACCACGTCCATGTGGTTGCAAGGGGCGTAGAACTTGCATTATTTGTGAAGACGTTTTTAAACTGACTCAAGACTCGTATACTTTGGATCCGCAGTCCCCAACCTACGTATATTGCCCATATTGCAATAAGTGCTATCCTGGATGGGATATGAATTTATACAAAAAGCACCCATATCACGAAGGAGAAGCATTGAATTATTCAGGTATATTCATTAAGATGGATTTTCTGTCTTCTGAGGAACATGAACGGTTGATCAAAGGTATAGACGACATGCCATGGGACTTATCTCAAAGTGGTCGTAGGAAACAGAATTTTGGCCCAAAATGCAATTTTAAAAAACGAAAAATACGTCTTGGAGATTTCGGAGGTTTTCCAGCGTTTAGTAAATTTGTTCAGGATAAGTTTAAAACTGTTCCAATGTTAAAAAACTTCCAAACTATAGAACAGTGTTCTTTAGAGTATGATCCAGAGAAGGGAGCTTCTATTGATCCGCATGTAGACGACTGCTGGATATGGGGCGAACGAATTGTTACAGTGAATCTATTAAGTGACTCTGTGTTAACTCTAACTTATAACAAGAGACCTGAAAAGTATAATTTGGACTTGGTCTCTTCATACCCTCAAGTTTTAGATTACGATGGAGATTTGTTAAACTCTAAAAATAATATTTCTTTTAATATAGAACCTTTAAATAGTGAAATTATATATCCTGTTGTAAGAGTACCCATGCCAAAGTATTCTTTACTGGTTATGTATGGTAATGCGAGGTACAATTACGAGCATAGAATATTTAGAGAAGATATAACAGACAGAAGGGTATGTTTAGCTTATAGAGAATTTACACCAACATATTTAGAGAATGGGGCATATTTTGAAGAAGGAAATTTAGTGACTCAGAAAGCAAAGATATATTGGTAAAGAGGACATAAAATAGACATGTAATTCCCCCCTTTGTAATATAAACTGTAATTCCCACTTATTTGTTTATTTATATGTTATGATTCGTATAGAACTCTGTGATAAAATAAATGACCTTTACAAGATGAAGATCTGTATTTTATACTGTGTTTTGGTCTTGCTATTTTTCAGTTTTGTTAAATCTATAGAGTCTTTAGACTTTCAAAACTCAGGTAAGTTTTGTTTGGAGATGTTATTTGCAAGCCACACCCGCACTAATCTATTTTAAATAGGTATTCCTAAAGCTTACGTTCCAATAGATCCTATGAAAATAAATGGTAATCCACTTCCAAAATTATGGGTTAAAAAAAGGCATTAAAGTAAAATATTTGGAGACATAAGGAATTGCCTTATTTTAAAAATGTAATATATAGAAATAAAAAATTACTTTGCAATAGCGATTTATTACTGTTTTAGGTAAAGGCACAAACTAAATTTAGGTTAGTCTGTGGCATTACTTAGAGGAAACAAAAAATTACAGTAAATTAAAAGAATAATCCACAGAATATACTAACGAAAAAGAAGCCCAAGTTCCTTGTAATAAATCGGTTCCATTTTCGTAACGCCATCTCTCGACATAGCTGACATTATAGGTTAGCCAAAGGGGTGCGGGGCCGGGGGGAATTGTAAAATACACTTTTTTATTTTAATTATTTTTATTCGCTATTTGCAATTTTATTTTTAAAACATATTATGTGAAACAATCACATAATATGTCTTAAAAAATAAAATTACAAACGGAAACAAAAGGAATTAAATAATCTGAAAATCTACAAAGTTTATTGATAAAAAAGTTAGGCTATGCAAATTGATAAGTATATTAAGTATAACCTCTTTGGTATAACATTGTTAAACAAACATTAACAAATCATAACATATCAGATCATAGAACTAAAAAAAGTACTATTACATAAAAACAGGTGATACAATACTTCAAAATTAATTTTAACATAATATCAAAACCGAAAAATCAAACTGCAAACACAACCACACTTATCACAACAGAAATTAACACACACTTTCGCGGCAAATGCCCAAGAAAGACTGATCATTCTGATTGGTCCTGGTCCGGTCGTAGCTCACGTCGTATTGTCGGTAAGCAAAATCCCTGTCCAAAAATTTTGACGATCAGCGCCATCATCCGTCATAATTGGGAAACTTTTGCTGGAACCATTTTTAATATTTCACTTACATGGCCCTGGAATAATCATGAATATACCAAGATATTATATACTGCAATCAATATACCAAGTACAGGATATTAAATACTGTAATGTATTCTGCGACATAAACTACCATCTCCCTTCTAAAGAGTAAAAGATAAAACATAAAGAATAAAGATATTTTTTTTAGATTTTTAACACCCTGAAGATTAGACACGGAGCACTTTAGACCCTATGTTTATATGTGCTTTTTTTTAAATACATGAGCAATCCCTGTATTTTTTTAGACTATATGTAGAAAACATCCTGTTTACACATAGTGCTCGAAACTTTCATCGAACAAATTGTGTATTGAAAAGCCAACAAATTCTTGTTTACTCTTGTGTTGTTTTGGGGGTTGGAAATTGTTAAAAATCGATAAAAACATAATTAGTAGGGCACAGAATCTTGTCAAATGTGTTTTTTTTATTGATTTCAAGGCAAAATTAGTGAAATAAAAGTAATATGTCTTGTAGAAGTTATATATTCTTGTTTTGGGGCTTGGAAATTGATAAAAATCTACAAATACATAATTTGTACAGCACAGAATCATGTTAAATGAGGTTTTTTTATTGATTTCATAGCAAAACTGGTGAAATAAAAGCAAAAAATCTTGGCTATTACTGTCGTTATTACATTGACTAAGAAAATGTCTTGTAGAAGTTATAAATAGGTGTGTTAGTGCCTTATTTTATAACTTATAGATGTAATAAGCCTCTATTTAACTAAATATTACATTATTTCGGAAAATATCGAACGACAAATTTAGGTAATACCCAAATTTATATTAATTGAAGATTGTGAAGGCTACCAAACTGCCACACCATATTTTGGTATTTTATTTTAATTTATATGGGTTTAAAGGTCTGAAACTGCTTAATTAACTATATTTAATGATAATCTATAATTCCTTAACTATTTTAAAGCTTCAAAATCTTTTGTAAGGCAAAAATCTATTTTTTATGATATTAACAAATAGGGACATTAGGGTAATTAAAATGCGATATCTATGTGAATTTTGCTTTAATCGTTTATTGTTTGGTGTCATTTTACTCGGAAAACACGTAGCTACATTTCCCTGGTAGTAGTTTTGTCTCCAATGTAGCGTTATATTGCTAAATTTTCATTTAAACTTGAAATTTAAGTCATAAAATTACATAATTTTCTACCGGTAAAACAGAAGAAAAACGCGTGTTGGCGCTCCCTCTAGCGCCAAAAATCAGGAACCGAGCGCCAAAACTTAATTTTATTGGTCATTTCGGCCGATTTACGTCATTTTCTAAGACCGTTGAGATGTAACGTACTTGTCGGTTGCCTCTCCAGAATTTTTAAGGAAAACTGCCTTTTCCTTGTATATTGTGCTCGGAAATCATGTGTAGTGCATAGCTGGACTCTTAGAGAAGGTAAGTTCGACTATTTTCCTACGAATTTCCCGATATTTTTCGAAAAATCCGACTATCTAAAGGCGGCCGGTAGAAGCGCAAGATCAACAAAAAAAGTCAAAGCCATCTTTATTTTGTTAAACTTTCCGTTTCTTTCTGTTTGCTTTTTTATATTTTCTGTTGCTATAAATAGTTCTTTTTTATGGTTGAATTCAGGTTGAACTATATTAAAATAAATCATTTTCAGACTTAAATAGTTTGATGAATATAGTATTTTAGAAATAAACACCTTATGTAAGTGAATAAATCATAGTCAATCATTTTCTGAAGAATATTTCTAATAGTAGTGCACTTGATATGATTTTTCTTAAAGATATTATGTAATAGAAGAATATTTATGTAATAAACAATTTATAAAATAATCTAAGGGCGGATTTACCCAATTCCTTAATTGCTATTCCTTAATTCTTATTTCTTAGTCTCTAATTTGTAATTCTTAATACACAATTCTTTATCCCTTATTTTTTTAGAGACAGTTATCCAATGTCTTAATCCATATTTCTTAATTCTTAAAACTGACACTAGTAGATCAAATCAAATCGTTTTTATTTCGTTGTGTTATTGTGTGCAATGAAGTCCATACAAAAAATTGTAGCACTTTCGGGTTTGTTTATAACCATGGCTTGTTGTGTCGCTACTCTCGTGAATCGCCACCGAGGTTGTAGGCGATTTGGGGTTTGCCCCATGAATAGAAGAAAGGACATGGAAGGCAATTTTGGAACTCTAATACAAGACATGCCTTCCTTTGAATGGGACGAACAACAGTTCACAAAATACAGACAAAATTAACATTTCAAAATTTCACGCATGCGCATCTACACGTTTTCCTTAATCGCTAATTCGTAATCGCTAAAAAGTTAAAAGTTGGGAACTTTCAAAATAAAGAATTACGAACCGTGGTTAAGAATTAAGGATTAAGACATTGTATAAGCAAACTAACTGCATAACACGTATTTTATCTTTTTATAATTTAGCGAATAAGAAATAAGAATTAAGGAATAGCAATTAAGGAATTGGGTAAATCCGCCCTAAATATAGTTTAGGAACCTGTAAAAAACTAAAAAATTACATCTGCCTCTTTAATATTAAATAATATTTAGAAACTTAATATAAGGTAATAATTAGTACTTAATATTGTAAGTATAATTGTTAGTTATTGATAGTTTTTCTGAAGCTAGTAAATTTTCTTTGCTAATTCATTAATTTTATTTATTTTTTAGAGACTGTTTGCTTAGGTTTTTATGTTTCTAGACTATGTAACTAAAAGATATATTTTGTCTTGTTTCAGATTATGCCGGAAATTATCCAGGGCTACAGATATACAAGGACCACGCTGCCAGTGAAGAAGGAGGTGACGAATATCAACACAGCAACAGATCTTCAAGTCGCAAAGAAACCAGGCTGCATTTGGATGGAATGGAACAAGGATCGGTATGGGTCTGGACACGTCATATAGCTCAGGTCGTACCTGAGCTCGGGCGCTGTATCCAGACGTGCTGCACTCCGGGAGTGAATGTGCGCCTTTACACATTTTGCTCGGTCTCGGTACAATCGCGGGTAGGGCCCAGCTGGACTCGAGAGACGGTAAGTACGACCATTTTCCTACGAATTTCCTGATTTTTTTCGACAAATCGGACCTTCTTAAAGCGGCTGGCTTGAAAGCAATTCTATTGGCTGAATGTAACGTCATTTCTTTTCAGATTGGTCGAAATTTTATCAGGCAGTATATAAAAGTTTTGCCTTTTTTATAATTTCTGCTTGCTATAAAAAGATGTAATTTGTTGTGTATTGACAGTTTTCTAAATTTGATCTTTTTATGGTTGTACAGGATATCTATGTATTAAAATAAATAATTTTTAGACTTAGATACTGGAATAAACCTGAAATACCTAGTATTTTAGAAATAAAAGTCTTATATAAGTGAATATACATATAATAATGACTCTCTCAATTTTCTGAAGAATATTTCTAATAGTAGTGCATTTGATATGGTTTTTCTTAAAGATATTATATAAGAGGGGAATACTTATCTTATACCTACATCTTTTATAAAATAATCTAAATAAAGTTTAGAAAGCTATAAAACACAGAATTGCATCTGCTTCTAGCTGCTGTAATTAGTGAAATATTTAATGAGGAATAACTAGTGAAATTTATATTGATAATCAGCTGATTTTTTCTTAAAACTGATCTAAACCATAGAATCTAAACCCTAAAAATTAAAATACTAGTTTCTTGTTTTTTAAGTTTGTGAAATATTGTATAGTCTATGTATATTAATGTGCATTGATTTTTTTTTTCTAAATATATTTGCATTCATTTTATAAAAGCACTTGTTACATGTTTTTTTTGCAAAAGATGCATTTAAACAAAA